AAGACCTTAATGAGGGGCGAGGGTGAGTTACTTAATAGATTATATTAATATAATAGAGGAGTTCTGCTTTATTATAGAGTCTTTATAAAATCTAACTATAGTTAGAATACTTAGTTAACTTAGTCTGTTTTTTGACTTGTAATGCTTCTGTAAATACCTTTAAATGGGTTGGGCAGTTTTACCTAACTCAAAAAACCGCAAAAACCATAACCAGCAGTTTTAACTGAACCTGAAACGGTTCCACCCCATAGAAACTGAAACTGGTGTGATTCCCTAGGCTAGGAACCGACCCCGCACCGCTGTGAGTTTGGTGAGGGTTAGGTGCGATTTTTGCGGGTCGGTTATGCAACTCTAGTTTGGGACTAATGGGCTAATAATTCTATGGTAATGGGCTGATAATTATCGTGAGAATTATCAGCCCATCCCTGCTAATAATATCCTGGTTTTTTAACCGCGATATAAAATTAACCAAAATAGCTAAAAATAAAAGGGAAGTAGTTTCTAAATTACTAAAGGCTGTACTATCTATAGAGGAAATAATATCAGATATTGCAGGGGTGGGCGTTGATAACTACCATGGTTTTCCCTTATAGCATCATTATACAAGATGATGTGGTGGGCAAATAAGCAGTTGAATTTGTCATTTGCGTTGAGACCGGCCAACTTGCTTGGAGTCATCAAATAAGCCCCAACGGCGACCTTTTTTTTTATATTCTATGCCATCAGCTCTGCCACGCCGACGAAATGCTGATTTAAATCCTAGTGTAGCTACCTGCATGACATCCCTGCAGCTGAAGATAGTGCTTATCAGGATAATGGGGCCGGGCAGCTACAAGGCACGTCAGAGCTCTCTAGTACCCGTGCCTTGGCCTAAATAGGCAGGATCCCCCTCTTCGCGAGTCAGTTGAGACAGACTAGTTTGCATTAGCTCAGCCACCGTGAAATTCTTGGAATTTTATAGTATGTTACATCAGATCGTCAGTCCAACTGGTGCTTCACGCAAGGATTTCCATCTAATGGCGTAGTCTTGGACTGATGCACGTTGGCATAGCCTCACTACTTGTTGGTTGGTGGAAATCTTCTGGGAGCCTTTGTTTGGTTCTAGATCCTCAAGGTTGCGTGCGACCAGTTAAACTGCTCGTAATTGTCCATGATTGGTGTGTTCGTGTCCGTTCTGGTACCTTTGTCACTGATAGACAATGCATCCCCAGAAGGGAAGGTTCTTCGAGCGAAGTCTATAAACATATGGTGGTTGTTCCCTTGGATTCCCTTTTCTCCAAGGATTAGATTTTGACTCTATACACATCTGCCGATTGATCCAACTGAGTCAGAGACATCTCCGCCCAACCCTACCATATCGTACCTGGTCATTACTGCTCTAACAGTATCCGTAATATGGCCTTCGAGCCAGGTCAAGGCTCGTCCTCAGTAAAGAGATCCTAAGTATGCTGCTTATGCTCGAGTGTCGGTAAAAGAAGTGTAGATTGGGGCTTGTGATGACATACTATCTTCCAAGGGTAGTTGTCTTGGTTCTGTATCGCTTATCATGAAGACATAATAGGGGTCATGATTATCATAGGCCTCAGTATTTCCAGGGAATCTGGTAAGTCCGTCATTATCACGGATAAATGATAGAGTATCTGATGCAGAAATGCCTTCGCGTTGAAGTTGTCGTCTTGTTTCGGCTTCAAGTATTCTAGGGGGAGGGATGGAACTCAGAGAGAGTGGTTAAAAGAGGTCAATGTACGGTAGTACTCTCTTGCATTTTCAACTATGGTTTGTTTTCGTGATGAGGGGGAGTAGATGAGTTGTCAATGGCACCAGAATTGTCTTGTCAGCATTTTTTGATGACACTTAATTGGTGAACACGGACACCACAGCCAGATCGCCATTGAGATAATTCATTCAAGGCATCCAAACGGGCTATCATCTCTTGAACAGCATCCAGGGTAAGTCAATAATAACTCGATATACCATAAACATCAGAGTCATGCTCTTCTCTCCCATCCTGGATAGGAGGTTTGAATGTCTGAACAACTGGCGTCAAAGCCCCCCCCGTCACAATTCCACCGCCCGGAATCACAATCTCACCCTTATATACCACAGCATCAGACCCGTGAATTGGTAGAGGCATGTCTGCATAGTCGATCCAAGTATTTTTTGCGGCGTCGTAAGCCTGCATCTCAGGGAAAACGGCAGTGGGAGTACGGCGGTCCCCTTCTCCGCCTGCCGTGAACATCTGAGAACCGATAGTAGCAGAAGCGACTCCCCCACGCGCAATAGGCATGGGCTCATACGCTGTCGACCATTGGTGAGAGGTGAGGTTGAATCCAAACACTGTGGAGACTACGTTCTTGTTCCCAAACTCTCGTCCCCCCAATATATACAACATATCCTGATAGATGCCTTTACCAGCGTGATCACGCGGGGCAGGCAGGTCTGGCAGGGTCGTCCACTCTTGGGTTCTCACGTTGTACGATGTGAATCGGGACACAGTTCCTTCCTGATCATAGGTAATGTTTGTGTATGCAAGTCCTCCGGGGAGGTAGATGGTGTTACCAACAGCCAAAGTCGCTGCACTGCCAATTTCTCGTCCTTCGGGCATGCTAGGCAGTACGGTCCACTCGTCAGTGGCAGGATCATAGACTGCTGACTTGCCTGTCGCATTCCAGTACGTTTCATCAACTGCTTCCAAGCCGCCAAGATAGTAGATCTTGTCATCGACGACGGCGACATTGACATGATTCAGAGCGGCAGGCATGGGAGCCGTCTCTGTCCAAGTGCCGGTTATCGTGTTGTATTTCTGCACGATATTGGTGGTAGCGTATTCCTTGCCATCCCACGGCAGAACGCCGCCAAGAACGTAGATCTCGTCGCCAACCAGGACCGCTGCGTGCTCTTGGCGAGGGTATTCGAAACCATTGCGCGTGATGTTGGGCAGTGTTGACCATTTACCAGAAAGAGGTGTCTCGTTGGTTGGCAGACCCTTACAGCCAGAAGCCAGAAGCAGGAGCGCTGTAATGACTGTCGAAATCATCTTTGTGGTATGACAGGAGTTCAAGAAGCACCAATTGAGCAGTGCATAAATTTCACGTTTATGATTGTCAACTCTGAGCGCACAGAGGCAGCGGCGTGATTGACGGTAGCTTTGAGAGGCCGAGCCAGCAATGCCTTTGATGTGTAGAGGTTGTTGAGGAATTGATGGAGGATCAGGTGAATTGTCTGCTCGCATTCTACTAGCCCACGACGTTGATCACACGTGAAAGGTCGGACAGTAGGCAATCATTGCGATGCAAGGGCACCTCGTTTGAAATATAACTAGTCTTCGATGTCGGGGTGATGACATGCGTAGCACAAAAATGGTACTTTCTATTCTTGCCAGGTGGCTTTCCCATAGTCTTCCTCAGGTGCGCTGATGCTGCTGGAAGGGAGAAGGGGACTGTCCTCTATGCTGAAATTATGTATTACTCTATTACATAACGTAATTCCCAGGTGAGTCGGCCACCCGGGTCAGCCGGCCATCTCTGTATTCCGTATAAAATGGCACCCTTCAAGGCTTTGATATCTCAACAACCAAGCACCTAGAGGGTCTAAGTTTAGGTATAAGGTATAGTGTAGACATATAGAATCATACTTACAAGCCACAGCCTCCTAGTATATGTATATACTTAAGGTAACATAAATTACACCTGTATTTTTGGTAAAATTAGCTTATTAGACATTCAGAGAGAGAAATAGTATTATAAGGCCTTGTGAAAGAGTATTCATATGCTCTAGGGTATATATACTCTGAATATCTTACTTACATGAATAGCATATATGAGCATGGTTGGAATATCAAAACCTTGAAGGGTGCCATTTTATATGGAATACAAAGATGGCCGGCTGACCCGGGTGGCCGACTCACCTGGGAATTACGTTACTAGATTTTCTAGCTATTATAATGTAAGCAGACCTGAGGTTGACTGCTTAAGGCCGGTCATGGGAATGTTCGGTGATTGAATCTCTCGTACCCCACGGATACGGTTTGGTGATGCCTCTCCTATTTGACCGGCTCAAGATGTCCGACGAGTCGGTGCAGTGGGTATTTTGCATGTTTTGACCGGGGCATATGAGACTAAAGAGCTTCAAGTCCCTTCCAAAGGCTGGCACCTAGCAATAGGTAGTATTAACCTGCCATACGCTCCAAATTCCATGGTTTAGGATAGGTATGAATAGATACTTGCATCAATAAGGTGAATGAATTCTTTATTTCTGCTGCTTTGATTGACAAGCCTCCGGCAGGCAGATAATTAAAGAAGGCTAGATTACAGAATGTGTACAAAGGGATAATGATGAAGCTGGTAAGAATGTTGGTAACTGTAAGCCTGTAACTCCAGATTTGGGCAGCGCGTTCAGTCTACCAGACAATAAGTCCAAGATTATCAAAAGTACTCCGTACTTAGTGCAGGCCATACGTAAATCTGTCAGTTTGCGGTAGCACAGACATTTATAAAAGTTGGAATGACATTTTCAGTATAAAGAAGTCCTTATCGTGGTAAGGGTGGTCGGCATCTTTCATACTTGGCTGGTGCTGCGGAAAACATTAGCTTGAAGCTGTATCCCTTCGACCCTTACTTAATAATCAACACATTGTAACACGGTCTCTATAATAATATACTATTTATTATTTGTAAGTGCATAATATACAATCTTAAATTGATTATGTTTACTAGGATAGAGAAGAGTCTCTTCATATTTATGAGTGCCACCTTTAACATGACACAAGCATGTATTACTCAAAGACAGCATTCTTTTATGATATTGTATTAAGGCAAGAATGTGTAATAATGGCTCCGGCCTTGGACAGACAGTTACATTCCAAACTCGCGTATACGACAGGAATATGCCTGGTGACAATGGTTGTATGATTGTAGAGTATAAAAACATAGAAAAACGGGTGTCTGGGAAGACTAGATATCACCACAGATTCATCTATTATAGACTCATCTTGAGCAGACATGCACTGCTCACTACCGTTCCAATCCCTTCTGCTGCTTAACCTCGCGTTAGGTGCTGCTGCTTGGCAACAGCGCGCCCACGGTGATGTCTGGGTTAGTTCTACATTCATCTGCACTGATATCCCGGACCTTCAGAACCAGATAGCTTACTCTTTTTGCTGTTGGTTATAGGAGCCTCCATACCCTGTGAGATGTCAACCTGACCCTTGTGCTAATATCAACTTCACCAATGCAACATACATCTGCGGTGACGAACGCCTCGGTCCTGTCAAACTGCCCAGAAACTTTCCTCTTTCGACCGAGTTGGCAACTTACTCGAGGTTTGGTGATCTTTGCCCGTATGAGTTTCTTGAGAAATGGACGTACCCAGAGAATGGCTCCTACCACTATCCCCCAAAAATGGGATACGTGCTGGACGTCGACGGGAACCCAATTTCCGGAAATGCCACTCTTGTTGTCGGCCGCAAGGTCGATCGGTTTGGGGGTGAAGGAGGAAACTTCTTGGGCCCTTTAGGGGCGCCCTATATCGAGCGGTCTCTTCCGCCGTCAAACCTAAATACTTTTGATGGAAAGTATTCATACAACTATCATGTGTATGAGGTGACAGAGGAGTTCATAGTTGGCCTAGGACCAGTTGCACCATGGTTTGAACAGCCAGGTATGGGCACGCAATTTATGACCTACAACAACATTTCATATTTGGTGGACCATGGCTACCTCAGGCGCCTGAGCCTGGAGGAATATGATGAGCCAGAGGAATTTGCAGACAACTACACACCCGGGCCCAACAATTCGGCCTAAAAAAGCATACAGGTCAGTGAAGATGGCAACAACGACACTACAAAGTGATTTGGTTGCTTAAACCAACTGGGGGAGGCTGTACCTTATTTTCAATCAGCTACACCATCGTATTCCCAGAACATGGTGATTTGATGAGTAGTTGCTGAGATGTGCCAGCTTTCTGAGTTACGAAAGTTGTCATCTGCCTGTTTTCTGTATTCTTTACTGGGATATTGTAGGAGAACGCTAGTTCTGGGAATGCCTGGTATTCATGGAATCATTGCTAGTATCACTATAGTGCAACATATTTTTACTGTTTCCATTTCCGGCTTCTTGTTGCCTCGCCATTGCCAGGATATTGATAGAAAGACCTGTACCTGTTAAGACTACCTATCCGCTCCCTGTTTTACTATGTAAGTGGTTTTACTGTTACATAATATAAGTCAATCATCCAAGATAACATTACTAAGGTAGCCAAATGCAGCAAGGAACATATGGAGGGAAAAAAAAACTACATGTGTTATATTTCTTTGCAACCGCTAGTAAGTGGCTCCATGGAGTTTTCCTGGTCGCAGTGACCTAGCAAGCGAGGGCTTATGCCCTAACAAATACTTATCAGGACAGTAAAAATGTATTGGCGGATCCTACTCACATACTTGCAGCGATCCAAGCTCATTGCCTGCATGTAGCTGCTCATGTGAATGGTAAAACAGATCGTACCTTATAGGGCTGTGCACACTATTATGAGCCAGTCATGTATTTGTCTAGACGCTCAGGTTCTCCGGCCTCGTCATTAGTATATTGTCTTCCTTTCGCATCAGAGTTTGCGAGGGTTCGACTTTGAACCGGTTTGTCAAGTGCAATTTTCTTGGCCTTAGAGGTTGAGTCTGAATGATCTTGTTATCTTTTCAGCACTGTAACAGCTTGACACGGACCTTGATAGCTCTTCCGATGTCATTGGTGTATCTTGAAAAGCATTTGTTAAGAGACCCATGCACCTTGTAAAACGAAGTCACGGGTGGAGTGTGACAAATATATTTCAGGAGAGCCTTGCAACTTGCCAGAGGCACTCAACCATGGTAAATGATATAGTTTCGGATTTTGAGTACAGAGTACAGTACAGTCAGTATCTCTATGATCAAAACCACCTGTCCCACCTTACTCATTGATAGGTTTGTCGAACACTCTGATCTGGTCAGATAAATCGCAGCCAACAACATGTAACGGGAGAAGATCCGGGATATGTTTCTGCGATTTGGGTGGTGGGGGCCATTGGACTACAGAGATACCATAATTGGCCGGTCGCTGCTATAGTGGATTACTGTCAGGGGTCACATATTGTTTATATCGGCTAATATAACATCAGTCCTCCATGATAAGAAAAGAACCTAAAGGGCGTTATGGTTTCATCTTTCTCTGGATATATCCTGCAGCTCAAGCGTATGCAGTCCTACCAAAGAAGCAACATGAATTGGTTGAATACAGCATCGTATAATAGAATAAATCACCTGAAACGAAGGAAGTGATAGGAAAGGGGAAAGGTAAACGAGCCTGCGAGAAGTATGCAAATGACTATAGCCTTTTCGCTGTAGAGAGCTTCCTTCCACTCCATCTTCTTATTTGTCCTTGCCTCCTCGCTTGCACTAGTTCTGTCTTGGTTTTAGGGGGGTTCTAGGGCCCTCTCTGCAGCTTTGTCCTTTTGTGGTTGCCCACTTTTTGTACGCTATTTGCAACTCTATTCCGTCTGCTTGTTGATAGGCAATATCTGATATTTCCATGCCTGCATTCGCGGGCAGCTCTCCTGTCGCAATTTTTGAGTTCTGATATATCTCCTTATCTCGTATCAACCTGGCTCTGCTGACCACCCTCAGAGGACATCAACTTGTTCTTTTACTGGCTGCGACTGCTCCCATAGCGATATATTTCCTTTTACCAAGTCCCTCTTACAAAGTCCCCCTTCGTCTCTGCTATCTACTTTGCCTGGACTACTCCTACGTAGACGCCTACATAGACAATGCTATATTATGCTGGGTCATCGAGCCTGCCAATGCTGCAGGCGTTAGATTCTCATATCCGTAGCTATCCAGCCAGCTCTCTGTCCGGCTTGTCGTTTACCACATACGCTGCATGCTATAGAGCCACGGCCATGCTTAGGTTGTCAACTTTCCATTCGTGCGGAGTCGTCTGATGTTTTGTGTCCCTGCTGTTATTGTCCTGCCCACTGACAGTCACCCAATGAATGTACGCCCCTGTTACGAGTGCACCAACCCTTTTGTTGCGCGTCCCGCGGTGATCCAATGGTTTCACTGCAGAGTCAGAAGAGCTAAGAATACCGTCGCAACCCCTGCGTTTGATATAGCCTTCTTCAATCCATTCCGAAATCTATTCCAATCATCAATTACTCAGAAAAGAGATGCTCCTCCAACTCTTCATTCTTCCATACTAGTCCGACAAAAATCTGCCGATGACAGACTCCTTTCTCATATCGTCAGGGACTTGACTTCTTGCACAGGTAACTTGAATCCCATTTCCTCCGGAATTTCTCCATCATATATACAGTCATCTGTTGCCCATTATGAGAGCTGCATGGCAGCGGTCAGCCAGGAGACAACTTGTTACTCATATGGCAGGCTTATCACTCTTAGTGACATACGCCAGGTTTCTAATGACGATCGCCTCCTGCAGTGTTTGCAGGATTCTCAAGACCTGTGGTTGGTGTGATGGTTTCAGCAATGCATATTCCACTTGCTATTCTGCTCTTTTTTAACCAGCTTGATCATGATGGTCAGGATCATTCAAACAAATTATACAGTCTTGTAGTTCTGGGGGACTGAAATTGTTGGCCCAGCTGTCTACTACTGAAAGATCAATGAATATATCGCTATAGACAGGATTGTGTTCGACCAGATATTGCAATGCTATCAATACTCCGTGCTTAGAAATGGCTGTAGGCCGGAATCTATTGGCATTTGGTTCCCTAACCAGAAAACCCTGGTTAACTTGGAGAACCGTAGTTCAGAACTTAGTGATATCTGAATAAGTGGACCTAGATCCTGATGTACAATGATGAAATAGCCCTGTAAAGCACAGTAGCTGACAGGAGAAGATCTACCAGTGGGCCTTAGTTTCAGCACTACCCTGATAGGGTGCGATTTGGCCATGAGATACTCATCAGGCAGAGTTAGATCACTGAGGATAGTGGGGGTTAATAATTGATGGAAACTGTTGACCTGTGAAGCCATATCTATGGAAATGACTGTGGGCGGCAGAAGACGACATTTCCGACCCTGCTGGAAGCACCCCCGCACTGACGGGTTCTGTTAGTAAGACATCAACAGCAAGCACTAATCTCTTAATGTGCGGTGCGTATTCTCAGTAGCATATATCATCTCCTTAATAGCAAATCACACGGCAATAACGATACTGCTGCTGCATCCTATGATGAACAGCACGAACCAGCGGCATCTCGAACGTACCCGTGATCAAATACGCGATGCGAGGTCAGCGACACTGCTCAATCGCTGGCAGGATCCGCGTTAATTTCTTGCTGCTTTCCCTACACTCGTCTAACAGGCATGGGAGGTCACCCAGACACGCATGCAGTCCTCATATCGCCAGCTGCCTTTGCAGACTGGGCTTTATCCCACCATAGCCGGAGGCACGGGTCCTTGTGTATACACACCGAATAGAAACTAATATCCACGGAATTTCTCGGCACAAAACGTTTATATACCTCATGTATAATGTGTTCCAGCCGCGGAACTCATCCTTCACCAATACTCTCCTTATCAAACATTCTTAATAGAATTAGGTAAGATAAGACTTCGACTCCCTCACTACCATTCAATTGCAGAACGCCGCACACCAACTTGCCGCTGGCCAAGCTACAGAAGACTCAGCCACTCACCGGCTGCTTAAGAATATCGCCTCTATTAGTCCAAGTACCCAGGTCCTTTTTCAGAATCTCAAGATGCGTTCGAGATCTGGGACTTACTTTTCCACGAGGACATGCCTGCCTTTTGGATGACTATAAACCCTCTGGCCTACAAAATCCTCAGGCTCTTATATTTGTTGGAGTTCAGTATTCAAGTATCTCATTATCACTGCAATTCCTGTCATCCACCAAAAGGTAGTGATGCCACATCCAGTTACTGCCCTGCGCTTCTTCCACTCTACATGCAAAGAAATTCTCGATGGCCTTCTACAGGGCAAATCGTGGGATCTTGGAGTGCTTGGAGATGTATCAAACTACTTTGGATCGCCAAGACTGATGGCTGTTGGATGCTGCGTCTTCGTATCTTGATTGTATTCAAGGTAATCTTAGATTCACGCGTCTTCATGATTAACTCCAAGATGATAATAATTTCGCAAATCAGATAATCTTATACTTACACGGTACTAATCTTGATAAAGCTGGGAGAATAATTTCCAGCCTGCCCCTGCAACCACCGGCCCGGAATCAGACTCAGAATTCCGCTATGTGGTATCACTCCCCAGCCGCATGCGTCTCTCTATTTTCGGCCGCTATCGCCCTAGTTAGACCTCCTTAGTGATTGCTTACCGTCCAACCTACGACATGGCCATCTGTTCTGCCGCGTCGACATTTACGCGTAGCGTGGTGAGATTGGCTAGAATCGAGTGGTTGACGCTGCTCCAAACTTCCCATGCGGGAGAGATATTGGTACATTAAGAAATAAATGCTTAACGCGATAAACTGATTTATAGTTAAAAAAAAGGTTAGGCTTATCTTTCTACGTATAGTAACTTCTTGTTATGGTTCACGATTAAGGTAGCGTTTTATATAGCCACTAAAACGAGAATTAAAAGCGGATACGTAGTGAAGTCTTAGGTATTGAAGATAATCTCATATGTGTCCTAGATTAACATAAACCATTACTGACCTACTCCACAAGCGCCGAGTGTGACGAATTGACGACGCTGCAACATAGTAGAGGTCGGTCAGAACGGGCTTTAGAACCAAAAGTAACTGACCCTCTAGCTACTCTTGAGTAGTCGTTTACAATCAAAGCAATTGGTTCACCCATACAATCGAGCCACATATACGCACTTTGGTGGCGTAAACTCTATTATCCACTTTTGGGGCGATCGAAAAGATCTGGACAATCAAGTTCAATAACGCGCCCCAACAATACTACTTTTTATTCCATGACCGCATGTGAGAACAGGGAGAGAAACAATTAACTGGCATTTTATTTTAAATCAGATGATCGACTCTCGAAGCTGGTGGCGATCAAACCCCATTCTTCCTATAACTACGTAATTGACATATTCTTGCAATTATATCATGGAAAGGTTCAGCAGATCGAAAAGCAGTGGAGAGTACATTCCCCATATCATATCCTTTTTCTGCGAACGATCTTCTTAGGAAAGTGAACTAGTGGCAGTCCCAGATAATGGCATTCACCCAAGGAAATTTCAGGTCGTCTTTCATAGCATTGACATTACTCCTACCTTGGCTTACCAGTGCCACCGAATGCACACAGAGCGATATTTCTCATCTCTCAGTGTCAGGCTGTACTTGTCCAGGTCCAAAATCTTTTACTTCCTGCCCAAACACTTGCCCCCTTGGCGGTGGATGTGGGCAAAACTCGAACACAGTCAATAAGTGCAATGTGGGTTGCACAGATGCCAACAAAAACTGTCACACCTGCGATCTATACTTTGGAGGCCTGTGTCGGTGCATACACGACGGTGACTGCTTTCATGATCCATCTACAGGATCTTGGACGCTGCTCCATGCCCGAACATTAATCACCACACCACATCTTCTGCCAGGGATCTTGGAGCTAGGCACTGATAATAAAGGCTGGCAACTGGGACAAATCGCGCTATCTACTGGAAAAGTGTCCAGCACGGATGCAGGGACCTTAGCGATGAACTCGGTCACCTCAAGGACTGAGGAGCAAATACACATACATGTGTGTGATAGACCGACAAGCGTCCTACGACAATATCTTGACAAGAAGGGTGCAACGCACTATAGCAGTCTCACAGCGATGGATTTCGACCAGCTTGGGTTCAAAAAAGACAGTATACATTGCCAGGCAGTGAAGACGAAGAACTTTAACATGGCAAAACTCATATCGGACTATTTGAACAATTTGGGCGCAGGTTGTGCTAAGTACCATGTAGGAGCTGGACTGATCACTGATAAACATGGTTATACTTGGGGGTGCATCACCACACAAGGGTCCGCAGAATTTCTTTTCTGCAAGAATTAGTACATTGAAGTGTCGGCAGGAGGGAGTTTATCAATCTTTATGAGCCTCCATTTGGTGGAATTTTCTACTCTTAAAAAGTGTTAATAAGGTGCGCTATGTGAGATAACCTCTAACAGAAAAGAGAGGGAAATGAATGATTAGGGTTTAAGTCCAGTTCTGGAGATGAAGATGGGATATAGCATTACATGGCTTAATCAACTTGGAGCTACAGTCTCAGGAAGCCAATATCAGACAAAGCGACTGAGTGTCATTCAAGGAGCCAACTGTATGCGCGTATAGCACTTATAGCAACGTGGACATATCGCCTCTGTTCATTCTCATCAGGCCTGTTCAGAAAGTACAATTATTCCTTCAGCACGTTCCCAAAAGACAGAATGGAAAGATTATCAAGCACTAATCTCTATGTATCCCTTAATGGGAAAATACAATGGCACAATCATGTAAGCAGGCCCGACAGAACCAAACAATAAGAGTGTTAAATATGTTTGCCTTTCCACAGTGCATCCTCTCGAGCACGAGCCAGGGAGTGGAATAGGTCAAAGGAAAAATGACTTGAAAAGAAATCAGGTCATCTGAGAAGTATGCATTGTTGGCCAGATGTTTGAACTATCAGCGGAAGTTGCCGGAACCGCAACTGCCATATGCGGGATATGAACCAGTGATTCTTATACCAAAGGTTACTATAACCAAGGATAATCACTTGAAGGATCTCCCTGAGTTTTTCTTTTGTGGCAACAATACTCCGAAGGCAACTCAGTAACTGCAAATGTAACAATTGGCTCTGACTGGGATATAAGAGCTAGATGTAACATTCCAGGGTAGGCTCACTTGAAATTTACTCTGCAGAATATGTAGGAGGAGATTCATAAATAGTTAATCTAACACTATAATTCAACAAATACGGTTTCCATGGTACGCGGAACTGGAGAATACTAGGAGGTCCCCATTTTTGTATCCATGGTTCTTCGGCCATGGAACCCTATGGTTAGTGGATGATACGAGAGGATGCTTTAATTGTACAACGGGAGCATTTTCTAAAACGCCTGTCTGCTAGTAGATATCCGCAAACAGCAATGGATAGTCCTATATTCTTCCTCCGTGCTCTTATTCTGAGGTTGCTCTGCCTAAAGTTTACTATTACTTTATAGGAAGGCTCTATCTGTGTCCCTAGCCCATACAAATTCAGTCAAGAATGCCCCTGAGCAACAATGCTTGTGGAAATAGAGCTTCTCTCTGAGGTCTAGACTTGGATATGGTTGACAGTCTCTAATCCGTCTATATTGTGGATTTGGCTTCCTTTTTATTTGTGCTTATGACAACATTGAGCAGATCACCATGACGCCAGTACACTATAGTATGATGTGCAGACAATGTTGAACCAAAAAAATAGCCAGTATGATTTGGGGAACTGTATGCTTGATATGTCATAGACACGCAGCACTAAAGTCCAGATGTTTTCGGGGAAATTGATTCAATCCATCCCTTAGCTAGGACCTATATAATAGAACAAGATTCCCTGTCTATACCAGCACTTTTGTCTCTTATCATCTATGATCTTGTTATCTTTCAAGGCGATCTCAAACCTCTCAAAAAAACAAGCACTTTCTCCCCTGTACCGCTGAGTATCTGCATAACATCATGCCTACTATGCAACGTGTTGAAGACGGCCCATACGGCGGTTATGGAGGCAGCTACTACAAGGCCGAACATGGGCAACACAAAATCAAGAAAATTGACGCCTGGGGACGGAGCTATGATGGTTATGATGTCGTCAATGGATTCCAATTCACCTGGGATGATGGTTATAAGGGGCCGCTTGTTGGCCACCAGAACCCCAATATTTACAGACCGTTCGAGTTTGAGGATGATGAAAAGATAACTTCCATGACCATCCGCGCGGGACACGATGTTGGCTTTGTCGACGCAATTGAGTTCAACACAAACAAGTCCCGCCACTATGAGGTTGGTGGAAAGGGAGGTGAACCAAACGTGATTAAAGGAAAGCACCTTGGGAATGGTGATTGGATTGGAGCTGAAGGCAGGGACCCTATTCATGGTGCTGACGCAGTTGTGGATAGCATCAAGGTATTTTTCAACGAAGACTAGAAAGTTAGAAGTGTTTTATACTCCACTAATCAGCTTAAGAAATATCACATGAAGAGATTTTAACTAGGCATTATTTACTCCGCCTCTTTACTCACTAGATCATTTTCCTCTACCCCCTGTTCCCGCAACTATTTAACTTCTGAGAAACTCTAAGCCGCTAGAATCAAATATCGTTATTTGACGTCTACAGGTCCTGAAGTTTTCTAAAAATTATCTGTCAATTTTCTCTTGAATCTATGGCTGTCGCCACTACAAAACCAATATTCAATCTGCGCGGCTTTAACCTCCACATAAACTGTGGTTGGCATACCTACCTTCTAACAAACAATTCCCCATGCCAGAAATGAGAGCAGTCGGTATACTATCGATCCCCAGGGTCATCAAAAACCATTCAGGCCCATACTAAAGAAGACAATAGTGGTCAAGGGTGGCAAAGGCCCCGCGGACGCCATGTCCATCAAGCAGATCCCAAGACCTACGCCCTCAGTGGGACAGGCATTGATCAAAATCAAGGCTTTTGGACTGAACCGCATGGACCTGCTGCAGAGAGAGGGTCTGTACCCTCTTCCGCCGCAGGCGCCGAAGACCATGGGTGTCGAGTTCTCAGGCACTGTGGAGTCAGTCGCCGCTGGCGCGGAAACCGACTTCAAGGCTGGGGCGTATGGAGGTTGTTATTACCTTGACCTTTCGTTGTGATTAGTGAATGTTTGTACTTAACCCCTCCCAGGAGCATACGCGGAGTATATCATCGTCGATACAGGAATGCTGGTCCATAAACCTCCGGAGCTTACATGGGAACAAGCTGCCTGTGTCCCAGAGGTGAGACATGCATTGAACAGACAACTGAACGCTCTGCTAATCCTGTAGACGTGGATTACTGCGTCACAAGCCCTCCATATCATCGGGAAATTCAAGCCCGGCCGTTCCGTACTTTGGCACGCTGGCGCCTCGTCCGTCTCTATCTGTGGTATTCAACTCGCTAAAGCAGAGGGCGCCAAAGCTATCTATGCGACGGCCGGCTCCCAGGAAAAATGTGGTTTCCTCGTTAACGAACTCGGTGTGACGGCCGCCTTCAACTACAAGAGTCAAGACTGGGCCACGGAGGTCAAAAAGGTCACGGACGGGGCGGGTGTCGATTTGATCGTTGACTTTGTCGGCGCAAACTACTTCCAGGGGAATCTAGACGCCGCGGCGCGCGATGGCCGAATTGTCATTCTAGGCTTGATGAGCGGGCAGAAGTTGCCGGATGGCGTGGACATTGGCGGACTACTGTTTAAGAGACTTCGCGTCGAGGGCAGTACGCTTCGCAGTCGGGACCTGGAATACCAGCGGAAGCTTAGAGATTCCATGGTGGCGCATGTTCTTCCGAGACTTATGGATGGTACTTTCAAGGTGTTTGTAGAGAAGGTGTTTCCCTTTACTGAGATTGTGGAGGCTCATAAATTGCTGGAGAGTAACCAGACGAGGGGCAAGTTGGCATGTGTCATATAAGCTCTCAGAATTTGTTCGAACCATCAAGTGAACCAGGCGTGCATTGACAACTAAGTGATATTGCTAACCAATCCACCTCAAAGAAATCCCACTATCATTCTGCCTCACTTTAAATATCTCAGTGTGGGGAGTGATATCACGCGCGTGCTCATGCGAGTACAGATAATTAGGGAACAACACCCTGATCGAATTGTACAATATAAGATACTATCGAGCCACGACATAGGCAGATAGTTCACCATCTCAGAGATGAGACTAGAGCCGACTATGGCGCCTACGCCCATCATTTTGGCTATGATGGGTCTCGTCAAATATGCGTCTTTGGTGGTATAGAGAAAAGCTCTTCGTGTGCCAAATTTTACTGGAGCTCCGCCGTGAGAACTGGGACTGGGATACGTCGTAATTCACACCTTGTGATGGCCATCACTACCCTTGGATTAATATGATAAAAAGGATCATCGATTTAGGCTGTCTAGCCTTTCCATTTGAATGTAGGACGACCGTACTTATCACCACTATTATAGAGAGGATTCGGGCATCAAACGTGCACCAGGGTATATAGCTATTTTGTTGGGTCATCAGTGAGTGGTAAAGATTTAAATCGTACCTCATAGGTTTTTCGGGATCTATATTCATTGGTACAGGGTTGGTGGAGAACAGTTTTATCTCTATGACTTTCGTTTTCCTGCTCTTGCCCAGAACAGCGTTATATCTCAAAGATCTGTTGAAAGTTGAGTCCACGATCCAAGAGTTATGCCGCGGCACTCGGTTTGAGTCAGTTTCGATTTGGGTTAGATAAACGGTTAAATTAGAAAATTAATATTTTTACATCAAATATATAGTAATTATAGTCTTTTTAATTTATATCTAAAATTTCAATTCAACATCTATGGGGTTGAAAGAGTAGTGGTTGAACAATCATTCTAGAGATATAGTGAATATTTTAAAGGTTGATGCATATATATAAACCACTCCCACTTTCATACCAACCTAAGACAGAAATGATTATTCCCTTATATCACAGCAACCACAAGATATTCTGAATTTATATTTCATATTCAGATAGACTAGATACTAGGCTATCCAGTGGTATTAATATTTCTAGAGAAATCCTTGATATTAGTGATTACTAAGTAAAATAGTGTAGGGTTAGTTAAACTGAACTAATACAACTGCAAAAACCATAACTGATGATTTTAACTGAAATTTATTTCACCCTACCTAAACTGAAACGATGCAATTCCCTAGGCTAGGCACCGAACCCGCACCGCTGCGAGTTTGGTGAGGGTTGGTTCTGAGTTTAGCAGTTTGGTTATACACCTCTAATCTAGAATAATAAAGCCTTTCACATTTTACATTAGGAAGTATTCTAGCTTGAAGGGTGAAGCCTATAGAGAAGGGAGGTAATTATTATGGGCTACACTGGACCATAAAGCTGCTATATACAGCCAACAATAATAGTGCAGAACTAAATTCACATAAACTCAGATCAACTCCGACTGCATACTTTCACAACAGCGTTCATGTTGGGGTCTTTGGCGGGCGCGGCCCTGGGGGCGCGAGGCCTCCCCGGCGGCCGTCGAAATGGCCGGCCCGCCGAAGCAAGTTGTTGAGTATTCTGCAACTCAGCGATTAACTAGTTCTTCTTGCTTAGGCAATACGGTTATCTTGCTCCCTCTACGCTGATCTTACCAGTTGACCTCGAACCTAAATGGCCGACCTTACACCAGCTTACCTATACTCCCAATGCCCACCCGCACACTCACCAGCACTTATCTATGCATTTTAGTGCTTGTCATTCCTATAGCAGTGAGTCTTCCTGCTGAATATAACTTCTATCCGAGTTGATAATAAAACGCTGCTTCCATGGTGGACCCAGAACCATTGACTCGGAGACTGACATGTAGTTGTGTTAGTCATTTTGGGTTTCAAATGAGGCCAACTCAGCAAAGAAAAATCTCAAAAATAATTCGTCACATATTCATATAGCATTTCGGTATTTCTTTATTTCCTTTCAATGTCGCTGTCTCCCGAAGCAAGTCTATGATAGATCTTTTTGTTGCTTGTGTTCCAGGCTTACGATTCATCGTTATCCGCTATTAGAACAGGGGCAGAACACAATCCAAAGACGAGGATGATCAATTACCACTTGCGTATTACATGTTCTCAGCGAAATTACTCTAATAAACCATTTTTCTAGAGGTACCGTGTCCTCCGTTGCACCCACCATTCCCATACAAGTATGCATAAGGATATGACAACGCAAATCCAGCGGCACAGGTTTAGGGTTAGCATGCAATGTGCATCAGAAAACTCCCTTTAGTTCATATTGAGAATTTGCCTATTTCACTTCTAATTACAATGCCCTTCTCGATTGGACAGGGTCCTGCTCAACCTCGAAAGTGTTTTATGGTCTTTTATTTGACGAGTTACCATGCTTAGCCGCTCAACACCATCAGTTCCATGTCGAGGCAACATTGTAGACGTTGAGGTGAACGCGCTTAGTAGCTCCCCCAGTTGACACCAGCTGGGCGTAGATCGCGTCCTTGCTCGGGAAAATCTGAGCCGTCAGGGTGGTCTCGCCCCTACCGCCGAAAACTTCCACGCTGGACCGATCGACAAATATGCTCAATTTCACCTCGCCATTGTCGCTCGGTGCGAGAGGTCCGCGATAGGCGCTCGCGAAAGTCTTGTCGAATGACACGTCTCCAGACTTGGTGCGGTCAATGAAGACTTGCTTGTTGACGAAGTCGTAACCGACAAGGGTCTGCTCAGTGGAGTCGGCGGAGGCTCGAACAGCAATCGCAAACTCCGAAGCCGTCGAAGCAGCAGAGAAGCTCAAGTCTATCTTGATCGTCTCTCCGGTGGTGCCCACGTTGACGGAGCCTTCTGGGACAGATTTGTAGCTGTGCGAGTAGGCCGGCCGCTTGCTCAAGATAGAAGACCAGGCTTCCTGGGGCTGCTGAACTAGAGTCGCCCTGTCGCCGATGGTCTCGAGAGCCAGGTGCCGAGGAATGGACATGGCGCTGCGCCAGCGGTCAGTGGGTATGTTCTGACCATACTGCCAGTTGTTCATCCATCCAATGTGGACGTGGGCGTCTACAGGGAGGCCATTGTAGCCAGCCGCAGCATAGAAATCTGGGCCCCAGTCCATCCAGTTAGCAGTTGAGTTTCCCGGGTATACATTATCATTATCGGGCGTGAACGTGGTTCCATCATAGTCACCCACAAAGTACTGGGTTCCGGAACCGACCGTGCCTGGGGGACCACCGGGGTTAAGTCCGACCGTCATAACCCATTTCGTGGACTTCTCCCCGTCGAGAGGCAACTTAAAAAGGCCGGGGCACTCCCAAACACCGCCTTGCGCGTTGTAGGGACCAAATTCGCTCACAAACTTCCAGTCTTTGAGATTATCGGAAGTGTAAATTGCGAGCTTGTGTAATGCGGCCAGGGTGGTGACAACAACCCACTTTTGGGACTCCTCGTGCCAAAACACAAAGGGATCACGAAAGTCCTTGTACTGATCCTGGTATGGGGCGGGAGGGTTATAGATGACCGGGTTGGCAGCATCGTACGTGGTCCAGGTCATACCATCGTCAAGACTGTAGGCAATGGACTGAGCCTGCTGATTCTCTTGGATAGTCTTACCACTCGGCAAGGTCTGCGCAACGGGATACTACGGAAAGAGAATTAGCCTTTCCACTCCAGGAAATTATAGCGGTGGCGTAGGCGTACACACATAGGACGTGTAGATGGCAACTATGGGTGTCTTGCCATCCTTCCCAAAGCCACTAGTGTTGTTTACGTCAACGACCGCACTTCCACTGAAGTACATCTCGGTGACGTTGCCGCCATATCCCCGGGCAAGAAGGGCAATGGGCTGCTCCTTCCAGTGGGTGAGATCCTTGCTGGTAGCATGGCCCCAGGACATATTCCCCCACTGGATACCACCAGGATTGTACTGGAAGAACAGATGGTAGATCCCATTGTGATAGAGGAGACCGTTGGGGTCATTCATCCAATGATCCTGGGGCGAGAAATGATATTGGCCACGGTAAGGCTGGTCATAGTTGAAGGCATATGCGAAGCCCGCCAAAATGCCCACCGCAAGGGCCTTGGTGAGATGAACCATTGTGAGGTCGATAGGATATACTGTGTGAAAAGATAATTCCTGAAGATTCTCGCATGATACAGCATGTTTATATGCGAGTCATTCAACTTTTGAATCCTCAGGCACCAAACTTTCTCCAGACTCTCAAATCCCGGGGAAAGCATATCTGGAGAAACTCGATTACCCCAAATTTGGGTGGATGTTAAGCGCCACGCTTATTATTCTGCGCAGCATATGGCAGATTTCTCTCGTATTACCACTATGCGGTCGTTCTTCCCTGGGCGAGAGCTCTGCAACAAGGAGGCCACGACATTGGCATCGGGGTCCACTGCTCTGGGTTTCTTCGGAGAAACTCAAACTTTCACTCCGCAAAAACAACTGCAGCAGTCCGAAGAAACCCCTAGTACGCCGAGATTAATCACTTTGCACATTCCCCCGCTCGCTGGCGTGCGTCGACATCTCGTAGCGCGCTCCATGCAGGGATTGTTCGACCAATCAAAGTCTCGGTTTCCATAAAAAACAATAAGCGGTAACTGTATATCTCGGGGTCTTACCGCACAGATTTAACTCAATTATTATACTAGCAGATACCTTCCCCGCCGCCCTAGACGGTAGGCAATTCTCCGAGTGCGGACAAATATCGGCATTTGGTGTCCGATCGGAGGCAGAGAATACCCTTGGTTCAGGTGTGCAATTCGGGCACGGTATTCCCCAGGCTGCATGTATCCACTCTGTTGCTGGTATGTCCGCTATAATTAATCTGATATATGCCCAAGCTAATTTCATTGATGACCGTGTCCTTCGACCGCAACAGATGTGGTACAAAAGTGTTTCGCCATTTTTATGACGCCGGCTGTGTGGCTTCTAGTGATTCCACTAGGGACACAATGGCTTATGAGTTGCCTCAGCGGAACGGTACCGCCCAGTAAGCAGCACCAGAGCGACTGCTGTAACGCGCGCATCGGTCAGGTAAATGACAACATCATCCATAATCTCGGCTTAGTACTACGTCTGGGCACAAAAGAATTCATCCATTATTCTTCCTGTTTCAAGACGGCCGCAATCGATTGTGCCACATATTCCACATTCGCTGGATTTAGGCCAGCTATCGATATCCTCGAGTTCTCAACCATGTAGATGTGGTATTCAGCTAAGGTCCGGTGAGAAAAGTCGTTGGGTTTCATAAGATCAAAGCTACTCACTTTTCAATTTCTCCACTATGTCAGGGGAAAGCCCCAAGAAACCAAACATGCCTGATTGCTTGAGAAGATGGTCCCAACGTCCTGGTGCTGCTGAATTAAAAGTCCCACGTCAGTGTACAAGGTTTTGGAGACAGCTGGCACACATACAGTTTGCAACCAAGTTTTTGTAAAGTGATTTTCTCATGGATTGCATCCGACGACTCATTGTCCTGATATCCTCAAACCAAGACCAGCGCAGTCTTTCATCCGCTAGGACCCTTTCTGCAATTCGTGCTCCATACGCGGGCGGATTGGATATCTCAGAACGCTGAAGCGATTCCAGGACAGATTGGCTGTTGACTGCTATCTCCTCAGTCGCAGCGGCCAGTATCAGACAGCCGACCCTTTCACCTGATGGGGTCAGCGACGATCAGGTAAGGATGAAAGCGTACATACCATACAACCCCATATTCTTAGCGAATGACAAGCAAATGGCCGACTCCATTCCTAATTCATGGATGAAGTAGCGGATCGCGAACGCGTCCTTGTCGAAATCTCCCGAGTTAAACCCCAAATATGCCGCATCAAATAGCGGGAATAGACTTCTTCGTTTCATGATGGCTCCAATCTCCTTCCATTGACGCGGCGTCGGATCCAAGCCTGTGGGGTTGTGCGCGCAGGCATGTAGGACAATGACTGAACCCGGATCAGCAGCCTGGAGGGTGGAGAGGTACGAAGCCATATCAATCGTCTTTGTTTCTTGGTCATAATACCGCATTGTCTCGCATTTGAAGCCCAGGGATGAGAACACGAGACGATGGTTGGACCATGTTGGTTCGGGGATGTAGACCTTGGATAACGAGTGTTGACAGAACTTGATGAGCCGACCGGCCAGGTGGAGGGCGCCCGTTCCGGATAACGTTTGGCAAGTTGCGAGCTTTAGAATGAATCAGTCTCGTGGAGTCAATAGTATCGATTCCGTTAATTTACCTTGTTACATGCTGCAGCGTACGTTTCTGGCCCAAGTGCCAACTCAGCGGCCTTGTCTCTGAAATGCTGAAGCCCCAAGATAGGGAGATATTCATGTTGCAAGCCTTCGTTTATAACCCTACGGCTTTCACGAACAGAAGGGAGGACCCATGGTTGGCCTTCGTCATCTCGGTATGCGCCTTGTCCTAGGTTCACCTTCTGAGGAAAGGCGTCTGCCAGGTGTTCCGCTGTCAAAGCGAAAATGGCATCCGCCGGTATGCGTGGGGCTGAGGCAAAAACAGATAATAAAGGTTCAGAAGTCAAAGTACTGGTACTCATCTTGTTATCTCGCGTCGGATTTTCCAGCGATCTATCAGCTCTTAGTGGTTGACCTGATTTATACATCCAATGTTCTGAGACGTCCTGTTTCTCTACTCAGTACATCGGTAACGATCCCGAGGATTAACCTGGTATGGTACTGATAGCGGAAAGCACTCCCGGTTCATCCGGATTGGTCGATTGTATCTTGGGTATCCGTGGCTTCCAGCCCACCAACGCCACGTCCTGCTGTGGGTGAGCCACACCGTAACCGCCAATTATTCAATAATTTCATATTCTTGAGCCTATTCCCACCCAACATGCCTCAGATTATTAAATTTGATGAATCTTGCAAGCCTAGGTCCTTGTTTCGTATCCCCAAGCTTCGAGTTATGACTTCTGAAGAGACATTATCTCTCACCCCTTTCTTACCGAATACAATATCAAGATGATCTCCTTGGCCATATCTTCATACCATGACATACAGACATTACCAACATGACACTCTAAGGTACCGTAGATAAAGCGTAAATAGAATTCAACAAAGCAATACCAGCTGTGGGCTTATCTCGATAACCAAGTGGATCCCCAAAATGTGGGGTTCCCTTACCCCGCTTTTGGCGATATGCAAATGCGATGCTCAAGTCTCCCAGTATATGAGTTGAGAGTGATGATCACGAGTGATTGTCTGCTATATAAGTGCACAATTTGACACAGACTCCAGGACGGATGGAATTGCCACAGAGAGAGTCCCGCATCAAAAAGCGGTCATCCAATGCGTATGTCAGCTGAGCCGATTACCTTGACCTTTGCTGATCTCAGACTTTCGTGTAGCTGCCAACGCTGTCGAAGACAAAAGATCAAGTGCTCTGGCTCTCAGCCCTGCAACACGTGCAGCCGGCGCAAACAGAGCTGCAAGTTTGATGATCGAGACCAGAAAATTCTAGTCACCCGGGGGTATGGCAAGCACTTCTTTGTATTGCCTACAGAGATAGTAACCCGTGGGATTCAGATACATCGAGGATCTTCAGAGAAAGATTGCCTTGCTAGAACGTGGCGAGAATGAGACATTCAGCCCCCAGTCTCTAGAACAGGACGCGAGTGTGCTTAACAATGGTAAGCCCACCATATTGGCCGTTGCTGAATTCTCCCTGATCATCACAGGCGATGAAGAGACCACCTCCAGGGCAGAAGCGGAATGGAGACAAAATTCAGGAAGTGCTACAAATCTAACGAACTTATTATCAACGGGCCCGTCGACGTTCATGGCTGCGTCTTCGGGTCGAATCTGTAAGCCTAGATCATACCTTTTCTCATCCCCCTGCACCTATCGAAACAATGTGCTGACGGCAGCAGTCTACATGGGAACATCGTCTAATTGGTCCTTTGGTCGGAAGATCCTGAGCATGGCACACGAACATCTCTATCATTCTCCACTCCCAGCCGGCGGACTCATTTTCGACAGTTCAACGTATGATCTGGGCTGGGATGGAACGAGAACGACAGTGGACTTGAATTCTCCTATTATACCCTCCCTCGATTTCTCCATCTACCTCATCAACGCCGTCAAGTTCCATGCTGGTCAGCTGTATCACCTTTTCGACGAAGACACTTTCATGAACAATCTTTACGCCTTTTACGACAACCCGGAGCAGCACATGATGACTCCAAGCTTATGGTACATCCACTATCTCGTCATTCTTGCATTCGGAAAAGCATTTGTTGTCCAGAGGGTTCAAGGAAGTAACCCAGCTGGTTGCGAATTCTTCACCAAGGCGCTGCAGCTGCTTCCAGACACCACGCAGCTTTGTCGTGATGCCATCGCCGCAAGTGAAATTCTCTGTTGCATTGCACTGTATCTGCAGTCACTTGACTTTCGCTGCCCAGCTTACAGCTTTGTAAGGTTCCCCATCCCCCGGCCCGGGGCTAAGGCTACGGAACGAGAGCTGATCGAATAGATTGGCCAAGCAGTTAGGATTGCGCTTGCCGAGGGCATGCACACTGATATGCCGGTCGAGCACCTGGGTGAGCCTCTTATCCAGCGATGTCGCAAAATCTGGTGGACGATATACATTCTCGATCGACAGATGACTTCTATGATGGGATTGCCGCAGTCAATCCGAGATGATCACCTTCACCACCAGCTTCCCTTGTTTCCTGGATCCCCCCAAAAGCTGGTCGCACTTAGCATGCAAATTAGGATGAGTCAAATCATGGAGGAAATTAATAGCAGTAGGTCCTTCGTCAGGCGATTCTTGTCATATTCTTTCACTGACCTTTCAAGCTGTATATGGGCCGGACGGACGACTCAATCGGAGATTCCTGCTGAAAACCAAGAGTGCTCTTGGCAGCACAATCGATCTCGCTGATGAAATATGCAAATCCTTTGACTTGCGGTTAGATGAAGCCTCCGTGAGCGGCATTTCTCGACTGTCTGCGCATTTGCATCTCCTGTATCATCAGGTACGACACTGGCCTTCATAAATCCTGTGGCCGACTCTAACCATGATCGAGCAGTGCATCGTTTTAGCAACTCGACCGGTGCTCTTCTGCTTCCTCCAAATTCGACTGCAGTCGTCCGAATCTCCCCTCGAATCGTTAACGTCGTCTGCAAATGTCCGCAAACTGCTGCAGGTCTGCGTCGACTCTGCGCGGCGTATGCTTAATATTCTTACTGTGCTACAAGGACAGACCCTTTTGGGTAGGTAGCCCAGGCCTCTTATATATCAAGTAAGCTGACTGGTTTCCAGACAGCTTTCTCCCGTTCGACCTTGAGTCCACTTTTATCTCCGCTGTGGTCCTTGCCACAGCACGAGCCATCGATTCTTCTCTCCTAGACGACCTGACACCCTGGCTTCAAACCACCTATAAAATCTTAGACGAGATGATTACTCGCGGCAATTTGGTTGCAGACTTCCGAAAATTTGAACTGGAGCAACTAGCGAGCCTGTTTGCCCAACTCTCGCCAGATCCACGCCGTCAAACTTCAGAGTCGGCCAAAAAAACGCCCCAAGAGAGAATGGGGTCCCAGCTTCCGTCGCCCTTAACTATTCCCGATACCAATTTACATCCCTTTGGTGTTCCAGAGATCTCAAATTTGGATAATGGGTTCACGACGGCAGAGATTATGGCCGTGGCTGAGTCGATCGATACTGGGGATGTGGATTGGATTGCGCATGCTGTAACGGAGAATCAGATTTGGTAGACAGTCGCCATAACCGTTCTATGTATTATACAGTACTAGTTGAACTAAATAACACGGATGGTTGGTCGCGAATAACAGTAACTCTGAAGGATGCTTAATCGGCTGAGTTCGGGGTATGTCGCTGTTCCTCAACGCACTGGCGACCTATCTGTATCAAACCCATCACGATATTAAAGCTGACTAAGAGAAAAGGCGGTGCATCATCCTATACTTAATCAATAAGGAAAGAGATAGATAACATAAACGCGTTCAAGCATATCAGAGAGGTTAGAACCACGACAAAGGGAGCAGAGAGTTAAAGCTTCACCGTTCCAGGTTGGATATCCTTCAACTCCCTTGGCTCTCCGAGCCTCCAACTCACATCACCACCCCAGTTTACCTTTCTATCGTTTGTCCCGAGGCTCTTCCACTGCCATCTAGCAACCTGTTGCTTCTTATCGGGCGCCTCAAGTAATTCCTTAACCCAGCGGCCGACGATAGGAAACATCTTGAAGCCGTGCCCTGAGTCACCAGAGAGTACGACAACCGTCGATGAAGTTTTCGGCACATAGTCAATGATGAAGTCTGAATCCTTTGTATCCGCAAACCAACACAATGACTTGCGCACTAATGGTCTACTCGCCAGATTGGGAAGGGTGTGTGCCAGCAACCGGCGTATCTGGAGTTCATCGTCTTGAGGCACGAAGGCACTCACTTCGAGGGACCGAGGCGCATGCGATACACCTGTGGCTGGATCAGTATTGACATACCCAGCTCCCATTGGACACAGCTTCAGTAGATTTGTCTTTGGGTCAGGCTCGAAAAAAAAGCCAAGGTCCCGAGCGTAAGTGACAGGAATACCGCGCAATGCTGATGTCTCTTCGTCCGTGAGATGCACGTGTGCAACGGACCATGACTTTGCGACGACTTGAATCCCGAGCTCAGGGACGAGATTGCAGACTGCAGCGCCAGCAGCAACAATCACCAGCTCGGCGGCGTGGAATCGACCATTCTTTGTCTGGATGCCGATACTCTTGCCGTTTTTATACACGATATCTGACACAGCCCCTTGCTCGCCCAGGAAGAACCGTACGCCACATGCCCGCGTTACCTTATATACGGCCGCGAGCGCATTCCCAGAATGAGCATATCCGTCGTACTGATTCATGTACCCTTTCCATCCAAGAAGCTGGCCGTCTGCCTGCCAGAACCATTGGCGAATGGCATCCCTCCCTTCCACGGGCACGACGTGAGGTTTGAGCTGTGGATGGCGGTCGGCCGACTCTTGGAAGCGCTTGAGAGTGGCAATTGCTTTCTCGGTCGCATTTCCCGAGACACAGTGCAAAAAGCCTGTCTGATGGAAATGCGGGGCGAAGAGGGGCGTTTTCCACGCAGAGATAGCTTCCTGTAATACGTTATTTGATATACAGTATATTTCTTCACCCAGCACCGACGAACAAGTGTAAGGTCTGTGTAGAATGGGTCCTCGTATTCGGCCCGAACGATTTTATTCAGATCATTGGCGGCGGAATAGCGAGGCGGAATCTGGTCATCTTGCTCAAAGATAGAGATGTTGCGATATCCATCCTGGGAGAGATGCAGAGCTGTTGAGAGGCCGAATGCTCCCCCTCCGACGATGATGATGGGGCTTTCCTTGGAGACCATAGTTACTTAGATTTTGTGTTTTCAGATGGGGTTGGTTCATCATCATGAGTGTTAACAGTCGGTGATTAAATGGAGTCGCGATACAGCAGCCGCAGAAAGGTACGCGGGAAGCCAGCCGGTGAAATGAAGATAGCGAAATTCATGCGGAGTGCCCAGAGCAGTTGGCTAGATCAAGATCATTGTGGATTATTGCGGCTAACACAGAAACACATCGTGCAATACCCATCGGAACCTGGCCCGATGCGGGGATCCATGAAGGCAACTGGGTTTGTTTCTTTCCATATCCCTTGTAGGACAGCACATTAGGAGAAAAAGAGAGCTAAGGGATCAAGGCGGACCAAATGGGAACGTATGTTAATCGACTGTTTTCTACGCCGCAAAAGTAGTTATCGTTTCATTAGACAAGTCATGTTGTCGCAATAGGGTGGAAGATGTATATCTCGCCGCATGGGATTATGCATACCGGTCTTTCTAAGATACATCGACAGATTCCCTTCGCTTTTGCTTTCATAAGTTATGTGGAATACTTTTAAATTATCATTTGGCCTGAGTCAAGTGGCGTGTTGAGGCATGGTTTCGAGCCTCAAATAAGGTAGCTATACTACATCCTCAATTAGTCTAGTGGTTGCTGGGATATCTATAGCCATCCAAAGGAAAGAACTCCTCCTTGATCATCCTAGGGCTGGTAAAACGCCGCAGAATATCAGAGCTACCGGCCTTGTCATTAGTCCCGCTGGCCCTAGCACCTCCGAAAGACTGTTGGCCGATTAACGCAGCAGTCGTCTTGCAGTCTGTAGACAGTTAGTTTCTGCACCCTGTCAAATCTAGTAGGGAATGAAGTACTGATGTAGAAATTTCCAGCTGAGTAGCGAAGAGCATCCTCTGCTTCTCTAGCAGCTTTTCGATCCGTGGCGAAAACGGCGCCGGTCAAGGCAAATCCACCACCGGCCTGGTCGACCTTCTTCAGCAGGGAGCTCCATTCAGAGTCAGGGTAGACATAAACAACCAGAACTGGGCCGAATATTTCCTCGTTGAATAGACGGTGGTCCGGAGACTGCGCCTGGTAGACGGTGGGGTGAATGAAGAAACCAACCGAGTCGTCGTAAGTGCCGCCAGCCAGCAACTTCAAGGATGGATCTTTGTTGCTCGCGTCGAGAATGGACTTGATCCTGTCAAATGACCGGCGGTGAATCACTGGACCCATGAAGGCCTCCAAGCTTCCGTCGGGGCTGCCAATAGTGATGTCGTTGATCCCAGCTTTCAGTGCCGTCAGGAAATCCTCCGCACGGGACTCTGGGAGATACAGACGGGAGGTCGCGGAGCACTTCTGGCCCTGGTACTCAAAGGCGCCGCGAATGGTGTGATTGACAGCGCTTGAGATATCGGCAGAGTTGTGAATGAGATGGAAGTTCTTGCCACTCGTCTCGCCAACCACTCTCGGAAATTCACGGTATGTCTTTTTGCCGATCCCCTCCCCAATTTTCGCATAAATAGATCTGAAAACGTCAGACGAGCCGATGAAGTTTAGTCCGGCAAAGTCACGGTGACAGAGAGCCACTTCGGTGATCTGCTCCGCATCCCCAGGCACGAACTGGACTACATCCGGTGGCAAACCCGCTTCCAGAAGGATCTTGTAGACCAGAGTGCTAGCGTAGATATTTGACGGCGAAGGCTTCCACAGAACGACATTGCCCATCAACGCAGGACCAGAGATCAAACTACCTCCGAGGGCAGTGAAATTGAATGGCGAGATCGCGTAGACGAATCCTTCTAGAGGCCGGTATTCCATGCGACTATAAAAATGAGCGTGTTGGTTGGTATCCGCGTCATTTTAAAAAGTATTCTTACCTCCACATTCCATCTGTCCCCCGAGTAGGCTGTCTCTCCAGTAACTCCGCGGCAAAATTACAGTTCAGCCGGAAGAAGTCTGCCAGTTCAGCGGCGGCGTCAATCTCAGCCTGCCAGATATTCTTTCCCTGACCCAGCATCGTCGCGGCAATGAGCTCAAATCGGTACTTTGTCGTCACCAGTTCTGCCGCCTTGAGGAAGATGGCCGCCCGGTCTACGAATGGTGTGTTTTCCCAATCCTTCTTTGCCTTTAGCGCTGACTCAATGGCACTAGAGACCTGCTCCTTAGTGGCGAGTGGGTAATTGGTGAATGTGGTTGCGTGTTCTGCGGGCAATGGTTGATCCCACGACTGGGATGCCTGCTGAGCCTTGCCGTTGTAGTAGATACTGCTTTGGACAGGCAGTTGGGATCGAAGTTTCGTCAATGCTGCTTCCAACTTGACACGCTCGGGGGAGCCGCGGGTGTACAAAGGCTGTAGTTCACTCGATTAGCTGTCAACCCTCAACATTAAGCCTCATACTGAATGCGAAAACACACATTGACCTCGTTTCTTGCATCTGGAAGTCGGAAAGGAACAGTGGCCTTCTTCCGTGTTTGGAGCACAGGGGCTCTGATGGGGTGCAGACTACGCCCGAACAGGCGTGCAGATGTAGCCACTCTCGATGTAAGAAGTCTGCTTGAAGCCATAGTTACTGAAAATTTCTTTTTCTCTAGGAACACGATGTAGAGCAGATGGTACCTGAGCTGTGGCAAAGCTACTTTTATCCGCTGGCAGGCCTCGGCAACGCATCCGGCGCCTGTAGCTTCCCCGCAACGAACTGAACAGCTATCAGCAAGGACGGGAAGAGAAGCCGGTGCTCTGTTTCGGCCTATCCAGCCTAATGACTGATACGGAACAGCTCGACTATATGGTCCACCCAAGTCATGGCTACACTACTGACTGGAAATCCATGCAAGTGATCCTCCTCGTAGGGGATTTGGCATCGATCTCTGAGCCATGAATCCCTCACACGCCCAAAGCCATCATGATTACGGGAGCTTTTATGGCTGGGGACAGGTGGGAGGAGACTTGGCTGCTGCTGCTATCTCAGCGGCATTGGTGGCTCCAATGGTGACAATGATCGATGGGTGCGTTACTTGACATGGATGTGGATATCTCGCTGATATATCATGACAGGGCATTGGTCGAGAAAACAACTCTTCGCAAACCTCTGCTAGATGGTTTGCGTCATCACTCTCGCGCCGCTCTCAGACATCCTGGACGATTCGTCTTCTCTCGTCCCTATGGTCTTGTCTGGACTCTATACGCAGCTACATATTGTGTCGCAAACTGTACCGAAACAGTAGAAACAGTAACCCATCCATCTAGCGCTGGCACCCTCAGCTTCGTATGCACCTTTTTGGTCAATGTACCTCTTGGTGTGCGCAAAGATATCCGGTTCGCACAACTCTTTGGCCGTCCGAGTTGCATTGAACCCACTATCGCCACAAAACTCGCTCTCCTTTCGCCAACTGGAGTGGGGGCAGCAGCAGCCACAGCGACACTTCTTCTGCGGGATGCAGTCACCATCTACGGGTCCTTTACACTGCCGCAGCTGTGCTCAGATTCGATTCCTGATAGCTTGACCACTCACCCGTATTCCAAGATGATCATCACACAGATGATCGTGCCCGTCTTGTCCCAGTTGGTAGCTACACCTCTGCATCTCCTCGGTCTGGATCTCTATAATCGCCAGTATCCAATACCCTGGTCCGATCGATTCGCTATAATTAGCAGGGATTTGCTATCGGCGACCGCCATTAGGTGTACGCGCATTATGCCTGCGTTTGGGCTTGGGTGCCTTACCAACGTGGGCTTGCGGTCATTCTTCCATAGTGACAGTCTTACTTCGTAACATGAATCACAATAGAACTCAAGATTGCCTCGATTCTATATTTCTACTATTTCGTATCGTTAACATGACTCGTCCCATCCATACGGCGGGCAACCGTAACAGCCTCCCGCAGTGCTCTCCCAACGTGACCCCGTACTCCTGCCTCCTCCATCATCATCAGACCACCAATAGTACAGCCTTCAGGAGACGTCCCTTGGTCCTTCAGAAGGGCCGGATGTACTCCGCTCTGGAGAAGACTGGCCGCACCTTGCATAGCCTGGAAGATCATCACATGCGCCATGTCCCGGGGCATGCCCACTGCTACAGCGGCGTCAATCATGGCGTCCACAATCACAGCAAACATCGCTGGTGTTGAGCCCGCCACAGCTGTAGCGGCGTCCATCAGACTGGGGGGAATGTGAACTGTTTTGCCCAGTTTCCCAAAGATTGAATCGATAACTCGGAGGGATGCCTCGGGTACCGTAGGCTCTGAAATCTCAATGGCTGTGAGAGACTGTGAAACCAGTGCGGCAATATTAGGCAGGGTGCGAACGACCCATACCCGCCCATCTGTATTGCTTGATGTGATTGCGCTGCCGTACAGGGTGGTCTCGAGCTTCTGTCGTGTCCAACCAGCAGCAACGCTGATCAGCAATTTGTTGGCTAGGGCATCCCGAAGACCAGGCTGTGTCAATTCAGCCTCAATACGGCTGGGATCAAGTGCAAGGATTATCACGTCCGAGTCTCGCACGGCGTCCATGTTGTTGTCTCTGTAGATGAGGAATTTTTCCGCAAACTGGGGGAATTGCGAGGCCAGTCGCAGCTCCGAGGTTTGACTCTGTACGCAGGCGATATATCGGGCGAATGGCAAGGAAGTGCGTTTATCTTCAGAATTTTGCAGCAAGCTTCTGAGGATCGCAGTTCCCAGGTTTCCTGTCTCATGTTAGAGAATTGGCAAGTTCTGGGGCCCGGTGATACAGACCACATCCTAGGAGACAAAGTGTGCGCATATTTTCGGTCTCAGCCATAACACGGGTAATACAATTGTAACTTTTATTTTGTTATCATGGAACGAGGAAATGCAGAGAAGTTGCGAGTGATATAGCCGTAGTAAATAATTGGCAGAAAGCTTATACGGAGTGCGGAGTAGAGAAACCCCCGCTCACCGAGGGACAATCAGTGGGGTCGGGATCGTATCCGAGTATTATGACGGTGCAGGGCAGCCCAACCTGATCTACAGATGCTGGCTGGAAAAAGTTGGCATATCTCCCCACATGGGTACTCTCTGCATAGAGTAAGGCTGGCAGCTGACGTAGCGACCCTTGCCCCCGATAACTTCAACTGCATCATACACTGGCACCGTTTAGAGCACAATATCACAACCAAAGTTCAAAGCTGCGAGATGCCATTCTTATCCTAATCCACCTATGTAGAAAACGAGACAAGAGACTCGAGTCTTCTTCTAATCTCCGTCTTCAAGGCTCTATGCTCATCTCCCGTTCTCGACACAGCATCGCGATTCTCAATTGCGCGTCGAAGCAGATATGCCAGGCACTCTCCCATTGCGCCCCATGTTGAGCATTTATACACCTTCGGATCACCATCAGGACCCTTGAGTTGCAGGAGGCTAAAGCTGACTTCATCGGACATTCCATGAAGTTGTCCAAACCCCACCGGCACAGTAGGTAGCTTGGCCTCCACACGCTGCCGACATAACTGATGAGCAGCCAGCAAACTGGCCTTATTATGACTAGCCAGGAACAAATTGACTGCTGGGAAGGGAAGCCCATCCTTGACCCCGAACTCCCCTATCTCCTGCCTCAATGCACCCTGTGCAATTCTGTCATAGGCTTCATCAGTATCCTTCTTGGTGTCATGGATGAGGGATCTTTCGTCAGAGGCTATGTATGCTCCGCGGACTAGCTTCAGGCCCAGCGTGAATCCTTCCTTGCTGGCAGCAGCCAGATGCTGGGAGAGGGTGTCTGGAGTGCTCTTGAGGTAAGCTTGGTAGGTGTTGTACACTAGCGCATATTCGTCCCGATTGTATTTACCCATGAGGTCGAGCGTTATGCGATGGATACCTCGTTGGAAATGCTGAGACTCCGCGTCAACCAGGATCTGGACCTTGCGGTCTTTGCATTTTGTGCAGATCTCGTCGAGCGCGTCAATCATTTGCTGTGGTGGGAGCTCTCCCGCGGCAAACGCTTCAGTGACGGTAGGACCAGCCCCCGTCAACCTGACCCATGATGTGTCAAAACTGCAGCTCCGCGAAAGATGAAAGAGTGGACCTACTTAACAGCCAAGTAATCACCTTTACCGAGTAGCTCGACCGTCTGCACTGTTCCCTGTCTCCATGCCTCGATACTTGGACACTGCATTTCCTCAAGCTTGCTTGGCTCCGCGGGTTGTGAAGAGATACCCAGCCCCTGCCGGGAATTTGTTCGATGGTCGAAAACAGTTTCCTTTGCGTAGGTCATGATCACACCCTGAAGCCCCATATCCTTGAGCCGTTGAATTGTTACTTTTGTCTCCTGACCTGTTTCTCCGGCACAAAACTGCTTGTAAAAGGTCGATTTCAAAACTGCATGGAGAATGGGATTCCGGTCCACACTCAGTAGAAACCCTCGGCCCGGTTTGCAAAGAAAAGACAAGATTGACAAAGAGGGGAGAAGCAAATATGGCTTTGAAGAAATGGTAGTGACAAGGAATGATCGAAGCAGCACGCCGGTGGGCAGACCTGATAGAGGGGAGGAACTGACTTCGGGTACGCTTCTTGTTGCAGCTAACCTAGCAGTCGAGACGTAGCGTACCTTGGTGAAGTCTTTATTGCAAGTGTTGATGAGTGGAACTCCCATACATCTTGACATCGATGGTCCCAGTCTCGCAGCGTGGCCTGTGAGCCCGGATAAGAAAAGAGCCATATCGTTAACCCTATAACATATAAATCGAACAGTAGCAGAGATTACCCAGCTCTGCAGTTCTGAGGATCAGTGAGTGGATTTAGGGTTCAAGTTCTCCTGGTTATCAATGTATGATTGAGAGTATGCCCTGCTGCCCTGAATCATCTGTCGGCTGACTTCCCGAATCGATGCTGGGTTGAAAGTTGAGGGGTATCTCCCTGCGGGGTTATAAATCAATCAAATGTCAGATTGGTCCCTGTGCTATCGTTGTGTCAATGCGTAGTTTCAGTGAAACCATCGTTATCCAGACCGAGAGGAATCCTTCCCGTAGATACACCTCTGAGTCGGCCTCGATGCCGATTGCCTCTCATGTCCAGGTTTCACTCTCCCAAACTGGAAAACCATGGCCCACTATCTTAGCTTTTGCAGTGCTACATTGTCTATTGTATCTTGATAGGATGGACAGAAACATTCTTGTGGACCAGCCGTCTGTTCGATCCCGGGTTCCTTCCAATAATCACATCCAAGATGGAAGCTGGTGTTTCTGCCCGCAAACCAGCCGTTGAAAAAACCAATGCTGCTGAAGCAACCAAAGAGATTGTAGTAGGAGCTGCGGGGGGCATAACGCAGGTTCTAATCGGTTTGTGGCAATCGACATGTAGCCAACATATTGGTGTTATTGACCCACCTAGGACAACCTTTCGATATCGTCAAAGTACGGATGCAAACCCAAGTAAATGAGAATGCCCTTCGGGTTGCGCAGAACATCTGGGAAAAGGAAGGTCCGTTGGCTTTCTACAAGGTAGATACAATATTTGTTTGCTGTCTACACACTTTAATTATTCTGTTGAAAGTTTATAAAACGTTGTATTGCCGAACTGACAAGATATAGGGCACTCTGGCGCCGCTTCTGGGAGTTGGAGCTTGCGTAGGTCTCAACCCTCACCCGCTCGAACAAGGCATCTGATGAGGAATCTGGACGGTCAGATAAGCATAGTATATTCTACTTTTCCATGGCTTTTCGCATGCTCTTAACTTGCTTCATTCTGAAATGGCCAGTGAAGCTAGCCATCCCATGGCCCTATCGCACCTATATCTTGCGGGGGGATTGGCAGGTCTGGCCAACAGCGCCATCTCAGGACCAATGGAGCACGTACTAATTTGCCTTCAGATGCAGCCTTCGCATACAGGCCAGAAGACATACTCAGGAGTACATAACTGCGTCCGAAACATTCTCCAAGAAGGGGGACTAGCCGGCTTATACCGAGGTCAAACGGCCACCATTCTCCGCGAATTTCATAGTTATGGAATTTGGTTCTCTATCTTTGAACTGTCACTATCTCAAGTGCTGAAAATGGAAAACGAACAGCGTGATGAGATAGCCAGCTGGAAAATTGCGGGCTGCGGTGCTCTCACCGGGCAGATTTTATGGGCGGCGAATTATCCGTTCGATCTTGTCAAGAGCAAGATGCAAGCTGACAGGTTCGGAAAAGAACGCAAGTACCGCAATATGCGCAGTGTTATCTGGCATACCTGGTGCACTGATGGATGGCGTGGTTTCTATCGTGGTTTAGGCCCGACATTGTTGAGAGCTGTGCCTGTGTCTGCAGGGACGTTTGCCGTGTGAGTGGCCCTTCGCTATTTTGTTTACAATACACATATTGACCCTTTCCAGCGTTGAGACTGTACGAAAAGCTGCTTAATCACTGTCAAGGTCTGGTGGCTGCAGGTTAAGCAGCAGCGACAATTGATATTATGGTGAGACACTTGTGATGGATTACACCGCGAGAATCGAAGCTCAAAAAAATCAAGTCACTTTTCCCGCAGCATTACACATAGATCTATCTCAAAATAGTTCTAGATCCACAATATGGCCTCATGCTAATATTGGCCGCATCATTATAACTTGACCCTGGTGCTTTTTCATCATCCACAGCAAGTAAAAGGCGACCAACCATATCTAACTGGTGTCATATTTCTGTTCTCTGAATAGAACTCTGCTACTTTCACTTTAACCAAAACAAGATATATCAGCTTCGCAGCATAAGTGTAGTGCCAAAGAGCTCTAACTGTCCTCGCTATTTACGTTTAGTGTGACTATCGTGCGGCTTATGATGCTACATTAGCGATCCTGCACTCAGAATGGTCTGCATTTTGCTACTCCAGTCATAAATCATAGTAGAGCAAGCAGTCCAAAAATGTGTCGGCATAGCTTCAGCTCGTAATAGTGGCCATATGGTTTAATTCTGGGTGACAAAGGCTGTTCTGCCTCCATCTGGCATCACCCCTCACGATACGATTGCCAACAGGGGTCCGACATACCAGACAGAACTTAGACAGACTTTGAGTTGTCAGCGCATGACCAGGGGACTGAGCCTCCAGACACTTTGTAACTGTCAATGATGCCAACGACCGAGCCGTAGGTGCCGGCAATCATTAGAAACGTCCCTGAAGCTATAACAAACACGCTCCAGCAAACCATAAAAACCCACCTGGGGCTTCTGTCATCCTTGCTCCTGCTCCTGTTGTCATACAGCCACATACATCCCATCGGTTGAAATGCCATCAACGTTCCAAGAAGGGCGCCGACAAGTGAGACGAGGCCGCCGAAGACGGGGATGGCGCTGGCAATAACGTAAGCTGAAATGGCAATGGCAAAGGTGCAGCTGAGCCATGTTCCCCAGTGTATGAAGCTGCTAGAAGTCAAGTGCTTGGAGCCTCGGAGGATGCGGACAAAAATATACTTCCCCGCCACCTACAAGTCTGTTAGCGTTCGGTCCCTTACCCTCTCGGTGATGCACGCTTACGTGTATGACAAGGGTCGTAGTAACTATCAACCCTGGTAGAGCGAAACCATAGCAGACCTTCTTCACAGTCGCACCAGCAGAGCCGAGGGCAGGTGAAGCGACGTAGGACCCGCAGTAATAATAAACCACGCAACCAATCGCAATGTATATAGCAGTCACACCGGTCTGGCAGACTAGCAATGCACGAGCGTAATATCGAGGATCACGCATCTCAGAAACAATGGGGAAAAACGCCGGCGTCCCTGCGTATGCAAAAACGAGGGTAGACACGGCCGAGATGGCCTCCGTAAAGCTGGGATTGTTGACTATCTTGTAGTCAGATGTCCAAACCCCGTCTTGCGGCGCAGCGGCAGGACGATCTTGGATGCCAACCGCAATAGTAACGATGAAAACTGAAGGGGAGGTCAGCTCATATCGGTGGATATACGGAAGTGAAGCGCACTAGAAGTAAGTATGCACGCTAGTCCGATCCATGCGAGCCAGCTGATGCGGCTGAGAGTCTGGATGCTCCCAAGCATAAAACCCACAATTGCAGCAATAGCAACAAAGATAGCAGTGCACGCGCCGTGCGTCGAGACTGCGTTCAGGCCAATTGAGATACCAAGCATTCCGGACCCAGCGACAAAAATCCAGTCTCCTTCATGTAAGCATTGGAATGTTCTTTTTATGCTTGGGGGATACACGTACAAAGGCAGAACGCAATTCCCAGCACCTCACGACCAATGCGGCCGAACATCAATTTCCCGGCGTCATCAATCCCATACACCGCCCGATGGCGCAGCTTGAAGACACCGACCATATAGTCCGACCAAGTTGTGATGACGGCGATGGTGCAAAGGCAAATCACCCCGGGGACTAATCCCAGGGTATCAAAGGCAGACGGAATAGAGAGGACGCCAAGGCCAATCTGGGTCTTCATCATGAGGGCAACGGTTCCAAGCCATCCTACCTAGCAGACTGTCAGTCTTTGAAGGTATCACGTATCTTGACAGGCGGCATACATTGCGATAGTTGGGTCCTTCCTCTGTGATTTCTCCAAACACGGCATCGTGAGCGTAGGCTGGGTCACTGTGGATTTCGCCCACCTGCTGCGACTGAATTGGAGACAGTGCGGCAGAGCCAGATTTGGTTTCTGATGTTTCGGATATCATTGTTGGTGATAGAAATAGAAGTAGCAAGTCATCAGAGAATCACAGGGACACTAGGCCCATTTTAACTCATCCACCGTCCCTATTGACTTAATTTGATATGACCGCCCATCCCCTTTTGGGGATACGTACATTGGCCATGGCAGTACACCATAGCAAGTAGCAGCCAGTCCCACACCACTTCTTGCCTGTGAAGGTTACTTATCAAACTCTCGACGTCTCATCCAATCGAACAAGGTTCACGCCTAGCTTTTTAAAAAAGTGAGAGAATCAGGAGGCGGGCTTTTTTGCCTCCAGATCATCACTAGGAACGCTCGGAAGACACAGGATAGAGTCGTTCAATCAAACGTCAAGAGTTTATGTTAGGGTTCATTAAAGTGGGTCCACTCGGGAACGAAACCGTGTCTCATTATGATTGTGATGAAAGTCGGAATCGCAAGCGATGCGGGGAAGTGCTGTCTACAACGTCTGCTATCTCGCCGTTTGGCTTTAGATATATTCTGTATGTAATGACGTCCTAACTTTCTTCTGTGCCTTTGACTTTCATCGCGTGGGATGTCTTACGAGAATTAAGCTTCTCCAGCGGTACCCAGTTTTGCTTGCTGGATGGAGCCTGTCAAAAGAATATAGGCCAGAAATGTGTCCGTATCAATACTAACTAAGAAGATACTGCCCAGATGGCTTCGTAGCGTGGTGGTCATTCGGGTTGACAGCCTCTTACGATAGTCTACTAGAATCATAAGACTGTTACGTCTAGGGTGAACGTATGAGTGTCTCCTATATTGGCGCCGTTGAGTAGAACCTGGCGGTTTAAGACACAGTCAGACCAACTCCTTTTCGGATTCACGGACAACCAGAATAAATACAACGCCGGTTCCTGTCCCGATGCACGAGAGACGCTAGCTAGGAATTAGCAATATTCTCGTGGTCAAGTTCCTACTATTAAATTTGGTTTCTCGTCGAGATTGGTGAAAAATGCGTTGGGTAAATATAATGATAGAATAGACGCAGCTCAGAGATAGGATTTATTCTGTTATACCCAAGGATACAGATCTGTCGGTTCTGGCCGTTGTCGTCTTGCTGGGGTTATCACGGACATGTTGCAAAGGCCTCCTACATTTGCGGAACAATTTGCACAGTATTCGACTATTAAGATAACATAGTATACACTAAAAGGTGCGGCGAACGGCGATAGGACACCATACACCCCAGTCATGCTACATATATGAAATATTGATGTAATATCTATAGAGTTGAATAGGTGATGGTTAAAAAGCATTCTTAGGCCATAGTAGATAAAGGTTACTGCATATATATAAACTACCACCACTTTCATACTGACTCTAATGGAGATGATTATTCCCTTATATCTCAGCAACCACTATATATTTTAAATTAATATTTCATATTCAAATAGCTTAGATACTAGGCTATCTTGTGATATTAGAATTTCTAGAGAAAACTTTAAAATTAGTGATTACTAAGCAACATAGTGCAGGTTAGTGCTACTAAACTGATAAAACTGCAAAAACTATGGAGTATAACCAATGGGTTTCACCAAATGGATTCAGTTTCAGGGGTAGGGAAACCACAACTAGTGCAGTTCCCTAGGCTAGGCACCGAACCCTCACCACTGCGAGTTCAGTGAGGGCTGGATTCGATTTTAGCGGCTCGGTTATGCCACTCTAATCATATCTCCAACCCCTTTGCCTTTCGTTCACTTCCTATGTTCTACATAGCTATACTGCAAAATGATATTATGCCAATAAGTGCCCACTTTCGTACAATAATATTCGCAAATGTAAGATACACAATCATTGTAGCTTGAAGATAGTAAAAGTTTGCAATGTCAGGGCCCAAACATCAGCACAGTATAGTAGGCTGTAGGCAAAACCCGCGTTCGCTATAGGCCATAAGTTCCCACCCAGTGCCTTTGATGAGAGGATAAAGGCTCACGACAAAGTGTACACTAAAGACTAAGCTCTCAGCTGGGATTGATAGCCTTACGTGTGGTTTTTTCTTTTTTTTCTTTCAATTTTTTTTTTTTTTTTTTTGTATATATTATTTTTTCGTGAGGGCGCCATAAATGTGGGGAAATTCTAAGTTTCAAATCATGCCACAATACTAGTAAGGGAGCATCTTCACAAGATCGGCAGGCTGAAGACTGTGAAATATTTAGTAATCTAATGCCGTGCTCTTCCCATAACACACTCAACAAGGCATACTCTTGAGTAAGCGTGGTATGCGTGGTGAGGTCGACGTCATCATGACATTGTCGCATTTACTCGTACCACATATTTTTACTTTGTCTCGTAGTAATCTCGCGTTCATGTACTCGAGCGTACGTTGCGTTTTGAATCTTCGATGTCGGCTCTTCCTATTCTACCGAAGCGACGACAGAAGAACACTACAAGGCGTGGAGCCGGTGGCTTGATTCGACTCAACTCGAGAAGAAAGTTGAACGACACCGAATGAAGATCTTAATCGTGGTCGCGAATACCCAATGAGAACTTGGCGAACTGATAGAAAAGAGAAATCTTCTCAAACCCCGCCAATATATGTTCAGTGAACTTGCTGCCTACATCCTTCGGCCCCCTAATACTACTACTAAAGTTGACCGTGAATGGCTCCCCGATTCATACCCGAACAAGGCACTGTGCCCAACGTCCATCATGATGCTAAACAAGCCTACAACACTCTAAAAGGCGGTGGAGTCGTCATAATCCCAACCGATGTGGGCTACGCACTCTTGGCCAGCACACAGGCCGGAATCCAGCGGATTTTCTCGGCCAAAGATCGTCGGCAGGGCCACAACATCGGCATCATCGGGACATACAAACAACATCGGGACATCCATGTGCTCTCCGAGGCCAAGTTTGAGATGACACGGGTCCTGACAGAGGACATGGCGATGATTGTCGGGATCATTGCTAAATATGATACCGAAAACCTTCACCCACGTTTGGCGGCTCTTGATCCGGCAACGCTATCGCAGGTCACGAAGGGCAATACAGTTAGCATCGCAGTTCCTGAAGGCCCATTTTTGCGGGAACTCGGTCGCCTTTGTGACGAGGACCCCCAGGGCATGTTAACATTCGGAACTTCTGCCAATCTGACCGGCCAGGGGCAGCGATTCCGGATTGAAGATATTGAGCCAAAAGTGATCAATGCGGTAGACTTGGTCGTGGATTACGGTCTGCAGAAATGGCAAGTGTACAAGCGCGGTGGCGTGAACTTCGATGCAGAGAATATGAAGGTGCTGCGGAAGGGAGCTGGATATGAAGTGTTTCGCGACCGAATGCTGAGGTGGTTCCCTCATTTACTGGAGGAGGCTGGGGTAAGCATGGAGGAGGATCCGGAGTACTACACTGGCAAGCCGAACATTGGTAAATATAAGTCTCTCGCAGATTGATCCTGCAATCATATCGCATAGCCGGTGCTTCAATCTAAGAGATGACTTTTTATGATTAACTTGATAGTAAAACCATGACTATCGCGCTCGTTTTTGTTTTGTTAATAAGTTGGAACTACAGACGTAACTTCTTTTTGCCCCCCTCCAGATGTTGACCTAGTAGATAATAAGGACTGCACACCACTAAGATCATTAGACTTAGCAGGCTGTGCAGGAGTAAAGCCCAATGTGCAGTACTTGACTAGGAAAGGCATGCCAGAGACTTTAAGGCCGCGTGCCACAAGGGCTGCAGAAAGGATCCAGGTACATAGAGGACTACAGCTTTTGCGAGGCGCCGAGTTTCGACGGGATATGAATTGTCATGACGAATAGTATGTACAAGGATAGCTAGTAGGAGCCAGCAGGTCTTCGAACGCGAATGGTCAGCACGTACTTATGTACACATGCCTTAATTGTGACAGCGGATTAAAACGAGGTACGTATACGATCGGTGGAGATCAGATAATTGCAAGTCAGCAACCATGGATATGAGCGCAAACGCTAAATATCATCATCCCAAATTCGTCGACTGTTTGAACCCAACGTTCGATTCTTCTCCTTCGCTCGGGCTCCTCTGTCTCCGGGGATGCCCATAGTTCGGATATCTCCAAGCTTCCATCCTCCCAGTCTAATAGGTACCGATCGTACTCCTTATTCCACGTTTCTCGGTCATTGGCTTCCCATAATGCCTTATTACCCGGTGCGTAAACGCCTCTCAGCTCCTCTGCGACAAAATTGGGCAGCAACCGGTCTTCGTTATAGATGCTGCTGAAGAGGTATAGAGTGAAGACTGCACGGCGTTTCGCGGCCGCCACAATCCAGGATTCCCATGTTGGTCTAGTCCGTGCTAACTCAGCGGCACAGAAGAGGCCGTTTCGAGCGGTCCGAAATGCCATCTCCATAAGGGTTACCATAGTCGTGTCTGTGAAACCACCTTGGGGGGAAAAATACATCAAGATTGAGTAGATCAGGTAAGCTTGGAAGGCAGACAGGAGTTCGTAGTCATGTTGGCTGGAACTCTATAAATTCGTTACACATGTGTGTTTCATACTTCATCCAGCAAAGAAATGTGCATACCTCACTAGCGAGCCTTTCCATCTCCCGTTCAAATGTATTTATGACTATCTCCTCACTCCCTGGGACTGCCTGTTCCCACATACGTACTAGACTGTAGCAGTTTGCCAGTGCTCGAGGAGTCGCATTCTCCCTGACCTGGGCTTGATGAATAATGGGAGGGACTAGTCTGTCTCTCAGCATATATCGCGGGTAAGTTCTCAGGATCCGCGCAATAAACTGCACAGTATAAGGGTGGTAGGCTTTTGGGGTTTCACTCCGCCCGAGCGTAGACATGAAAAAGGGCCTTAGCCATCGGTCTCGAATATCCTCTGCATTAGAGGTGGGAGTTATATTGATCTCTTCGAAGTCAAGCTCCTTCTCCTTGGGCAACGCTCTGAGGGGTTTTCTCTGGAACTGCGGGCCTGGCGGACTCCAAAGAGTAGCGTTGGCAGGAGGACTCGGGGTATAAGACAGAGAATGTGGCGTCTGTAACATTGCTGAGCCGAGGTGTGGAACTGAAAGCAGAGGCGTCCTGTGGCTTTCTAGGGGTTCGGTTTCTCCCCTGTCTCCCTCTTGCGGGCGAGAGTGTCGTTGCTCCAAGACTGAAACTGTCGTACTATAGACGCAGATTCGACCAGTCGATCCGCACCGAGAGCACGCGGGTCGCTCTAGATTGCACCGAACCTTGGACTTGATGCAGTTACTACACGCTTTTCTGCGTGGAGGACGAACCTCAGTTTTGGATGTGATGGATCTGATCATGGCCCACGATATGGAAATTCACAGAGGTGAGGAGAAGATCCCAAAATCATGAAATCAGATCTGAAAAACAGTCAGAGAGCGAACTCGATGAGCACCGGGTACTCCGACCGCTTGCCGTGAGGCCATATTAGTAACTCGAATATACTCTCGGAATTCCGAGATGGAATTCCGAACGGCTCATTCAAGTCATCTATAAATATTCAAGCGGAAGGACCATGGAGGATGCTAAGCTTGCTTTTCTCCTTTATATTTTCTCCAAATAGTCAATTACTGTGCACCATTCATAACTTGACTCACTTAAAGTATAAGAAGCAATTTCTACGCGGGTGTTGCGACTTCGAAGATGGAGGTCATATTGCGAGAAAGCACATTCGGACGAATCCTGAACTATGTCTCTGATGACAAACTTTTTCCAGCATCAGGTATCCCAATATCGAAAAGTGAAGCAGCTACAAACCCAAGTTTGTCGGCTGCTTCTTCCGATACTCTTGACCATATCCTGGTAGATTTCAGCGGGCCCAGAGACCCCGACATGCCCAGGAATTGGCCAATGTTGGCAAAGACTGTTGTCATGATCGATGTGATGCTGTTGAACTTCAGCTTCTATGCGGCATCAGCAATTTTCACGCCGAGTATCCCCAAGATCGAGGAGGTGTTTGATGCGACAAATGCCGAGGGGACTCTGGGACTCTCCCTTTTTGTAATAGCGTATGGCATTGGGCCTCTCATTGTACGTCTACATCACCCAGTCACACCTTATATCCTACTAGTCTGCTAATCACAAAATGATTCCAGCTTTCTCCCCTGTCGAGCATGCCGTCAATTGGACGTACTCCAGTATATGTCCTTGGTTCCCTTGCATTCTGCTTGTTTAATATCGGGACTGCCCTCGCGAGGAATCTGCAAACAATTCTAATTTTGCGCTTTTGTGGAGGCCTAGTTGGGAGCGCACCTATTAGTGTGGGAGGTGCTACACTGATGGAGGTCTATGATCCGGGCCAGATTCCATATGTCATTGCTCTGTATGCGGTCAGCGGAGTCTGTGGGCCGATTTTAGGACCGGTATGTCACTTGCCTTTGAGCTACTTGATGCATCTGAGCTGATTTTGGTTACCTCAGATTCTTGGGACTCTTGTGTTGTAAGGGCTACCTATTCCAACCAGGCGATATTTATATAAGCTAATGGACCACGCAGAGAGCGTTGGAAAACATGGACAGCGACTCTATGGCTCCTTTCAGGTGTCACGGCTCTCACGACGGTGTTCATATTTTTCTGTCTGCCCGAGACGCTGAACGCCAATATCCTTCTACGCCGAGCACAGCGACTCCGCCGCCAGACGGGGAACTCTGCATATCGGAGTCAAGCTGAATTGAATACACCGGAGGCAAACTTTGCTCTGCGCATTATGAAGCAAACAATTGATGACTTCAAACTGTCTTGCATGGACCCGGTAATTCTGTTTGTTAACATGCATACGATGCTGATCTATGGCGTCCTGTACCTGTGGTTTGAGTTTTTCCCATTCGGTGAGTCAATCAGACACTACCATTGCAGTTGCTTTCAACTAACTCACTGGCGATAGTGTTTGATGGAATTTACCATTTTACTGCCATCCAACAGGGCCGTAAGTGTTGACTCAAAACCTCTCTGATCTGGTTTAACTTGGATTCTAGTTGCATTCTTCGGGATCCTCGTTGGTGCCGTAGTATCTGTCATTGCATACATGCTATGGTTATATTTTTCATACCAGCCGCGGGTCGCAAAGCCAGAATCCATCGTGGAGCCTGAAGCTCGCCTTGTCCCTGGCCAAGTCGGAGCGATTTGCATCCCTATTTGCCTCTTTCTATTTGCATGGACGTCTCGAGAGAGGTAAGCGCATCATAGCCATTTGCATGTATGGAAGAGAGCACTAACATCACGTTTGTAGCATACATTGGATCGTTCCTATCATTGCGACTGCTTTCTTTGCACCAGGATTTTATCTCACCTTTCAATCTATCCTCAATTACCTGGGGGAATCCTATCCAAGATATGTAGCAAGTGTCTTTGCTGGAAATACGTTCTTCCGGAGCTCTTTCGGGGGAGCATTGCCTTTAGCTGCTCCTCAAATGTTGAAGTCGCTTGGCATTGGATGGTCATCGAGCATGTTAGGTTTTATTTCCGTTGCTATGGTCCCTTTACCTTTCATTTTGGAACGGGTGAGATACTTGCATAGCGCCTCAGAACCTGGACCATTGGCTAATTATTTGACAGTATGGAAAGCGTCTACGCTCCTGGAGCAAGTACGCCAACTAGACCTTCTTGGGCAAAGGCTTTCTACGGGCTGCTGTGGCTTTTCTGCGATGGGAGAGGTGATGAGAGGGTACGATGAAAGGAATAATAGAGCTAGCGTGATCTATCTGAAATAGAGGAGAGTCATATTCTGCATTGGCCCATTGTATCCAGGATCTAGTCCCGCCCTCCGATGCTATCTTTTTGGTTGATTATCAGCGAGAACCTTGCAGTAGGCCACCACCTACCCTGGTATCCCTGGATGCTACGTGCGAGACAAGTAAGACCACTGATGTACCCTGTGATGGTAGGATAGAAGCTACCTAGGTTCGAGATACAGTACTTTTAGAGCAAACGCTGTGCCTGTTAAGTGTGGGCCGAGCCCGTCCGGCGGGTGAAGCGGCTGTAACCTTTTAAAACAATCAGAAACACAGTATCCATGTTTCGCTAAAGCTAACATTCAGGAATAGACTCGACAGATTGTTCATATGCACCACGCCTCATTACGATGGGTTGACTCATGATCGTAGTCGCCTGCTAGTTACGGGGCTCAGCCAACTCAACGAAGTATCGCTGGAATGTATTTACCATGAATAACCCATTACATTCAATTTAAGTTGATAAAGAAGACCGAGCCGAGGCTGGGATTTCGCTATATAGTAGGCAGACTCATTGGTTTCCAGCACAGCTAATTACTTATTAACCCTCCAAGCAAACGGTTCAAGCATACCCTTATGTACGGCTAGCTCGGACTGATTAGCGAATATATCAAGGGTCGTCTCTTTCAACGTGGCTTCTAAGGGCAGTCTGGATGAGGTGAGTAGATGAGTTCCTAATCGGGAGTGTGATTGGAGCTACTGAAAAAAGGAGCTTTTAAAATTCACTGATTGTGAGAATTACTTTCATCCGCTATATCGTAGGAATGTTGGGCAATCTCTCCAACTTCTACCCGGCCCTTCATTGTCAGGCGACTGTGCCTCGAGAGGGTGAACAGCTGCACAATGTCCTCGTTCGAAATCAATATAGCCAGTCCTCCCAGGGGTCTTTAACAATGTTGCTGGGAATGAACTGTGGGGCTGCACATCTCTGATTCGAGGGTTGTTTAGGTCGAACTCTGCGCACATGGATACGCGCATGGCAGACTCTGCGTGTACAGCTCTGGCAACTTGAAATCATGGTGCAAGCACAAGATCGATAGCATCAGTATAAAATTGGACGACGAGCTCATGTTTGCCTTTGATTAGATGCTTGAGAGTAGCGCTTCCTTCTAACTGGGACCAGTGAAAACGTATACCACTCACTTGCCGTCCACGACAAGTACCACGACCCCCCACGGCTACTTGACTATGGGGCTTGCCCACCCAAGGCCAACTAGTTGTTCCTGGGCGATTATGTTGATCGAAGCAGACAATCGATCGAGTGTATCTGCCTTCTCCTGGACAACAATATCAAATTCTCGGAGGATTTCTTTATCTCCGGCGACAATCATGAGTGCACATCTTAAACGGCATGGGTAGGAGCGGCGATATAACATAAAAGGTTTGAGAGACATTCGCCAGTTGCTCCAACTGTTTGCCCATTGTGACCATCGTAGAAGACAAGATCTTTGCCATACATGACCGACTGAGCCTCAATCTCGACACCATGGAGCAAACTTGTCGGATAATGCGTGCAACTGATATGCGCTCTTTTCTTGCTCAGATGCAAGTATCCATGCAGTCCCCATCAGCGATGGAATTGTAATAGATCCCCGATTGCGGACTGTTGTGTGACCTCCTCTGAGCTGATCCCCATAAAGATATCACTGGCCAGGGAGAGAATGATCATGGAGTCTCTTGCACCTTTGGGCCCAATGTTGTAGGCCATTTCGTGGAAAAAAACACCAGATGGACTTCAACTCTCGCTCGCGCACCAGCGTGTGGAAGTTGCGATCCCTGAAGACCAGTGCTCCTCGATGTCGTGAAACAACTTTTATCTGCGTATTGAGCGTACTCCGGCGCCACAGATTTGTGGTGGAAACGTACTGAGATAAAGTTGGGTTTCTCGAAGCCTTATGGAAGAGATGGCAAACCTAAGGCTCTTCGGAGAGAGTCCTCGGAACCCCGAATTTTATTGGAACAGCACGGAGTTCCGTTGCAGTTCCGAGCCATCACCTTGTAGAAATTCCTCTTACAGCGTGTTTTCGCATCACCAGTCCAGACTCAGAGTGGAAATCAGGGAGATAGCACCAGTCTCACGAGGAATTCTGCTGGAATTAAAAGCATCTAAAGGTCGACGCGGCTTTATGAAAAACACACTATCCAAGCTTATAATTCAAGGCTTTGACCTCTTATCTCTTTGACAAATTCACAAATCAAACAAGACATCAAAATGCCCGAAGTCTACACGACAGACCACTCCAGCTCAGTCCTCCAAATCCATGGCTGGCGTACCCTCTCCAACTCAGCATCGTATATACTCCCCTACATCCAGCCAGACTTTCAAATCCTTGACGTAGGCTGCGGCCCAGGAAGCATGACCGTCGATTTTGCCAAACGCGTACCCCGTGGACACGTCACAGGCGTGGAACATGTTCCTGAACCCCTTGAGGCTGCCCGCGCCCTTGCTTCCTCGGAGAGTGCAACCAACGTCAGTTTTCTGGTCGGCGACATTCACAATCTGCCATTTCCTGACAACACTTTCGACATTGTCCATGCGCACCAGGTTCTGCAGCATATCGCAGATCCGGTGCAGACGTTCAAAGAAATGCGGCGCGTGGCCAAGCAAGGTGGGATTGTGGCCGTGCGCGAATCTGCTTCATTAACTTGGTACCCAGAGTCAGAGGGCATCACTGCTTGGCAAGAGTTGGGAGAACGAATGTCGCGAGCAAAAGGTGGCAATCTACACCCTGGAAGATTCATTCATACTTGGGCCAAGAAAGGTGGCTTTCATCGGGAGAATATCAAGACGAGTGCTGGCTCTTGGTGTTTCAGCAGTCCCGATGAACGGAAGTACTGGGGTGGTTCAATGGAAGAAAGAGCACGGTCTTCTGGATTTGCGTTAATGGCAGTTAACGAAGGATTTGCAACCGAAGGGGACTTGAACAAGATTGCGGTGGGATGGAGGGCCTTTGTAGAGGACGAAGATGCGTGGTTCGGACTGTTGCATGGGGAAGTTGTCTGTTGGAAGTCATAGCCATTGATTAGCATAGTTCCGGCGTGAGTTGGACTTTCACTATCTGTTCATTCAATCTCGATACTAATGTACGTGGAATGCCGCCCTCCCTTGGCGAGTCTCCTGCCTTGACAACTGCCTCGTGGCATGACTCAACGCCAGTCCAGATATCATGTTCAAGTCCCTAGCTCTCTGAGCGGCATCTTCAACGGTGGTAGTCATACAGCAGCTTCGAAAGGCCGGTCATGAGAGGAGAGCAGCGAGGCAGATATAGATCTGAGAGTCAACCAGGATGGTGTTTTCTCTACGTAGATTCTGCTAGAAAATAACGATCCTTTTCAGAGACATACAGGTGCCCAACCTGTAGATTACGTTTGTAAGAGCATCTCCAGTTTCCGGCATGGAAGGTTTTCTTGAACTGTACCGTACTTCCTCCCACAATCACAACTTCGAAGCCTGCCATGTTTCCAAGCTTAGTGGCACAGAGTTTATGGTGGAAATTAACAGAAGGATGATTCTACCGCTAGTCAGTTATTGTTTGGAAGTGAGGACTTCTGTTCTTCTCCTCGCGAAGCTGTCAGAGTAAGGGTCTCCGTCACGTTCTGACGCACATGCCTCATTCGCTTCATCGTCTGTTGGTCAACATGTCTTGAGTGGATCTGTAGCCTGAGATTCAGAGAGTGCCACGCCCCAAAGCCTCTGAGTAAGCACTAATCTTTAGTTAGATTGAAAACTTGAAGTTGGGCAATAATACATAGAATTGCATTGCAGTCGCATAGTTGTTAGTATTATCATTATTTTCATTATTATTATTATTCTCTAAGTGGTTGGACGTAGATTAGGCAGGAAAATTGACGGAAAAGATAGGAACATGAACAATAAAATTAGTTATACTCTGTACTAGTTTCATTAGTGGTTCTACGAAAATGAGGGACTGACAGGATTCAAATGTTGTGTATTCCCCTGCTTTTCGTTGAATCAACGTTTCCCTGGCATCTTACAGTTCAGAACAGGTCTGATCACAATGGGTTCAATCGAGTACAGGGAGATCCCTCAGCTCACACCTCTTGAACGGATTGCACCCAAAGGCTATGTCCGTTACATTTTCCTCTTCCACCTTGGGAAAGATTACGACATCAACAAGGTCTCCCAGGTCCTTCAAATTGGCTACGAAACTCTTGCGCGAGAAATTCCTGAAGTCGCGTGCGAGTGTATACCCGATACCGACATTCAGAAGAAAGGTGTTATGAGATATCGCAAAATAGAGGAGGAGGATGCTGCTCGAATTGCTGTCAAAGACCTGCGCGATTCGTTCCCATTGAGCTTTAAGCAGCTAAAGGGTAAAGGCTTCCCCGTATCATACTTTGATGCTGAGACATTCTGCCCTGCGCCAATCTGGCCAGTTCCTGGAGAAAAGGTTCGCACTTCTCTCGTGCAGGCTAGCTTCATTCGAGGAGGACTGATTCTGGGGTGGAATCTTCTGCATTTGAGTGGAGATGGGACTTCTTGGTATATCTGGACCCAAATTTGGGCAGACGCCTGTCGTCGAGCTCAGGGATTGGAGGGTGTGTCCTTGAACTTGCCAGTAGAGATTTGGGGAGACCGCGAAAGAGCGAGAAAACCATCAGGCCGCAATGCCGGAAATATTAAAGATCATCCAGAGTGGACTATTCTACCTTTCACACCAACATCACCACCGCCGAAGATGATGTCTCCCAATCATCGAGGCCAGGTTTTCTATTTCTCTAAAGACTCCTTGAAGAGTTTGAAGGCGGAGGCGTCACCTGCAAATGCCACCGAGTCTCATGGTCAACAATGGGTATCTACTAACGATGCTCTCTCGGCACTGCTCTGGCGTACCTTGATGGCTGTTCAAAACCCCCTAGATACATTGAAAGGTGATCCTACGTCTGTCTTCAACATCGCAATTGACGGTCGGCTACGAACGAACCCAAAGGTTCACCCACAGACTTTGGGTTGTTTCATGGAATACATTGCAGTATCGGCACCTGTTAGAAAGATTTTAAGCACCCTCAAAATTGCCGATTTGGCGGTGATGATCCGCAAGGCCATTCTGAACGCCGATGAGGAATGGACGGATGATACTATCGCTCTCGAGGAGCAGCTTGAAGATGTTGACCGACTAGTTGCCACTGCTTTCCTGGATGTCCCTGGATTCAATTGCCTCCTGAGCTCATGGGTGAAATTTGACCTATATGGTCTCGAGTGGGGTACTGTACTAGGAGACAGAATTGAGGCCGTTCGTACGCCGCATGTCGGTGTTGTTAATGGCCTTCAGGTCGTGCTTCCGAGGCTACCAGATGGTGGACTGGAGGTCCTTGTCGGCGTGGAGGGAAATTGCTTGGATCGGCTCCTAAAGGACCCATTGTTTACCAAATTTGCTGTTGCTAGATAAGGGGATATAGATCATAATGTATAATGAGAGTCATGTACGCACTGGACGCAGAACTACGAAGATGATGTAGTTGATGATGACCCGGTGGTGAGGGATGAGAGATTTGAGAATCAGGGAAGGCTAGGAAGCTTGATGGAAGTATTCGACCTACAAGGGCGTTGTGTGATATCCCAAGCAGAGAGTTCCTTACAAAAGAAGCGGAGTGTATATGACATAGAGTAGATAGTCTCCCCTGCAACCAACGAAAAAAGGGCCAGCCTGACCTCCCACAGCGGCCAACCGATTCTGTTCCGCCCTCTGAAGCTGTTCCTCAACCTCTGATTGCCATCCAATGACATACGACGATTCGATACTTTCTTGCAAATGGGATCCAGTCTACTCACAAAGAGAAGGCTGGCTTCAGTAGGATCTGTCAACGGTATGTTGTCTGCGTCAGAGTTAGCCAATGAGCCTTGAGATCAGTCCAACGGGTCGGATGCCTTGCAGACCTCCCGGCTGCAACAGATGGGCTTTTGGTTGCCGACATTTTCCAAACGGGGCTAAAGAAGGACGGGAGGCAATGAAATCGTGACAAAAGAGAGGTTAGGGGCCCATAAGGCACTGAGAGTAGGCGTGGATGCACAGTGCATGTGCACGATTTAGCCCGAGCAGTGGTTTCCATTATTTTCAGGGGTGCACTCAATGCTGAGATAAAAAAAAGCCTCCTACAGATACAACAGACGAATGAGGTTGCATGGATCAGTTACCACCTGACGCTTCCTTGTCGCCACGTGGAGGAACAATACCTCGATATCCCACTATAGGCAGGGTGTTTGATTACGTATTAGACAGGGTTTAATGTCAAGGTTCCAGCAATTTCTCTCTTCACTGTCATGATTCTGCAACAGCAGGAGGTGCTGGGTCATCCACGTGTGATAACCTCGCATGTGTGGGAAAGAGAGCACGTGGATGGGAACCATCGAAGGGGTTCGGGCTCTCGCTTACTGTGTTTATCAAAATTGTGGGGTTAGACATCCTGTCAGCTAGACAGGGGATCAAACAGACATTCTAAACTTGCCATTTTTAAAAATTCGACGTTGCACTGCATACACGCAGTCCCAGTGAAATGGTAATCCCCTTGTCCATCTGATCCTGATAGGTCGCATGGCTGATAAATTCAGTTCTTTTGCTTTCCATTTTCAGCCTTGATTCGGCACCATGGTTCACCACCTAGTAAAGGCTAATAAAGGGATTCTTATCAGCAAAGTAACCATGCGCCCTGAATCCTTCTCATGGTGACATGTGCTTGTATTATGCAGAGTGACGGTGAAATTCTAGAAATGGCAAGTTTGTTACCCCTGTCTGTCGGATGCCGCTCCTATAGGTGGGTATATCCTCACGAGTCAGACCGTCCTGCAGCTGTGTAATATAATTACATAACTTACCAAATACATGTATTGCATGATACCTTCTTTTGAGATTGTTGTTGCGTAATGCTAGCCCTTACATCACTGTACAACTTACGGGTCTGTTTCACTTCGCTGAGCTTCACAGATCTAGAGCCGCCTCTCTGTCTGCCTAGCGCTGACCCGCCCTCATCCCCCACGTGGCTCGTTCCAACAGTTCCATGTTTTCAGCCCCATCTGTTACAAGCTATACAGGTCAGCTTGAAAGCTAGTATAGGGGATTCAGGGGCCCATTTTCAGCACACAGACTGCGTGGCTATGGTGAAGGATTTTGTTCCTACCCGCGTCTTGATTGTTTGAGGCAGCTTGCTGCCGGCTGTCTTAAACAGCCATGTATTTAAGGTCTAAGGGACACCTCGGTGCTCAATGAAAAATCGAGTCATATAACCGCGGTGGGCCACAGTCCTGATACTCCTGCAAGGTTGAACACCAAGACAAATTTGACAAATGAAGGCTTCCGTTCTTGCTGTATCTTGTTACTTCGGGCTCCTCTGGACCCTTGTAGCTGGTGCCAGCATCCCCAGATACTTTCAGAAACACGCGATCACCCGTCGAGACTTGACCAGTGCACAAGTCCAACAAGAGCTCGGCGGCCTGGTCTCCAAAACCACCCTCATCTTTGGGCCGGATGATCCGCGCTTCAACGATGTCACTTCCAGATGGACGGACTTTTCTAAGCCTCACATCCAAGTCGTAATCGAGCCTGGACTTGAATCCGATGTCCCAACAATCGTGAGATCTATGACCACCATCCCCACAAGGAAATAAATCCTGCCTGCTGACACTGATTCCCAGGTCAAATACTGCAACGAGAACAGTATCGACTTCCTGGCCGTCAGCGGCGGCCACGGCCTGGCGGCAAGTCTTGCCACGTTTAATGGCATCCAGATCGGTATGCGGCAGCTCAACAACATCACCATCCAACCCAGTGGCAAGTCAGCCTGGTTCCAAGGCGGCCTCACCGTGCTCCCAGTCATCCAATACCTTTGGGACAAGGGCTTTGTCACCACCACTGGCGGGTGTGAGTGCGTCGGCATGCTAGGTGCCGGTCTTGGGGGTGGCCACGGTCGTTACGAAGGTCTGTACGGGTTGATTAGCGACAATATAGTGCAGTTCAATGTTGTCTTGGCCAATGGCTCCACAATCCGCGTCAACGCAACAAGCCACAGCGACCTTCTCTGGGGTATGAAAGGGGCCGGTCACAATTTCGGCATTGTCACGAGCTACGAGATGAACATCTTTCCCCGGGGCCCTGACACCTGGCATTACCACAACTACGTCTGGCGTGGTGAACATTTGGAGACTGTCTTCAATGCGCTCAACGTGTTTCATGGCGACGGCACTACCCCCGTCAACATGGCCTTCAACGCCGGAAGTTTCCTCATGAACACCACCATAACCAGTGAGGAGCCAATTCTCTTTTGGTCGTTTACCTACCGCGGGACCGCCGAAGAGGCCGAGAAATATCTGGCTCCCTTCAATGCTATAGAGGCCGTCTATGAGGAAATGGGCGACGTGCCTTACCCGCAGGTCGCCAAAGCGCAGGGCACCAGTTTGTCCGACCCCATCTGCCAGCATGGCAACGTGCACAGCACGTCGACGGTATTTTTGCGGGTCTGGAACGCCACGGCCGAGCGCCTCATCTTTGAGGGCTTCAAGAAACGCGTGGCTCAAGACCCAGTCCTTGCGGCAGGCGCCAACATCATGCACGAAGGCTACTCGACGGAGGGGGTCGACGCCGTGGACCCCGCGGGCTCGGCCTACCCCTTCCGCTCCGACCGCCACCTGACGCTCTTCAACGCGATCGTACCGCACAATGACACTGCCCGCGAGCAGGCGGCCTGGGCCTGGGCCGCTGAGGTCCGGGACCAGTGGAACGCCGGCCAGCCAGGCCGGCTCATGGATGCCTACGTCAACTACGCCAGCGGCTTCGAGACCCTCGAGCAACGGTACGGCCACGAGAGCTGGCGCCTCAAGAGGCTGCGGAGCCTCAAGGCCAAGTACGACCCCCACAACCGCTTCCGCTACTACAACCCTATCGTCGTTGATTAAAAGAGTGCAGAGCCCGATCATGGTCGTTTCTTTTTATTAAATGGCAAGGATTCTTGTGCGTCGATCTGAGGTTTAAGATTGTAATCATATAATACCAAAGAACAAACCTTAAATTATTAGTTATCAATAAGCAGGCTAGTCACCAACATCATGGGCTTGTCAACATGTTCATTGCGCTATAAGACTAACTTCTAATGACTAGAGACAAGTACTTCAGGAGTCTTACACAACACTTCATGTTAACGATGTATGGAGGTTCAATTCTGTTCAGTTCAGTTCAATTTATATTATAGTCTAATGCGGCTGCCTCACAATATTCAGGTGTGATGTAGAATTTTGAGATGACTAGATACAGGTGGTACAAGATGGTTGAAATTCATAGATTTATAAATTACCGTAGGTCAAATTTCGCATATTGTATTATGCTCCACCTGTCGTGTGATAAATGCGGGTCGAGACTCCACTAACAATGTTTTTGATACCCAGATTATCGAATCCCGGTTACACCCGTCAACCATTTAGTCTAGTTCCTGGCGGGTACCTACAGTGGGTCTGCTACGCATTGCCTTCGTTCTATGCATGGGCAACTCAGCTCTGGGAAGCTCGTGGGCCGGTCGTGGTGGGGAGAGCAAAGGATCTATTTCCACAGAACAGTCCACAAGTTTGGAACGGGTAGTCGGGGCTTGATGGCGCCCAAAGCACCTCCTTGCCTGCCTCTGCGTTGATCGTCGCCATCTGCTGGGGGGGACAAGGGCAGTTTTTTGGCAGGTCAACCAGAGACAGTTATTTTTCCGCCCTCCAGGATTCTTCCCCCTTGTTTACATGCAGGTAAGACGGAATAAGCTCCGTAAGGCAACTAAGATTTCAAGCTAGACTGCCACATTTACGCTATGTAATCCTTCTGAGTGTATTAAACCTTAAACAATCTAATAGGAAGTTCTTTAGCGTCTATAATCCTGGCCTTCAGAGTTCTTCCTATTGTTTCTATGCAGGTAAGATGGAATAGGTTTCGTACGGCAACTAAGAATCTCAAGCTAGACCGCCACATTTATGCTATGCAATTTTTCTGGTTGTATTAAACCCTGAACAGTCAATAGAGCTTCAGTGTCTATAATTCCGGCCTCCAGGATTTTCCCATCGTTTCTATGCAGGTAAGGTGGAACAGGCTCTGTAAGGCAACTAATGATCTCAGCCCTCAACTCAGACGATCATTCTTATGTGATGTAATCCTTTCGTGGATGTATCCCCGATCGGTTGCTCTCGGGAATATCTTGGTCCGAAAGAGTCTATAGATTCTTCTGTAGCAGATAGGGATGTTATAATAAAGGATACCCACGATAGCCCTTCCCATTCTGATCCTGCGACCATTGGCTCTCTCGGGAATTGCAACATATTACCCATCATCATACCAATCCTCTCTGCTATCAGTGACCTGGCAAATCTACAACTATACCCATCATAGCCCGGACGGTACCATTCTTCCGCCGCCATGGGTGAAGTCAA